TCGGCTAAAGTTTACATGTAAAGAATGCTGGTTTATTTAAACCTGTGGGCTATTTTGCTTTCATCATTTCTTAGTAAAGGGTGGCCAGTGCAGGACCCTCTGCCCCCAAACAAGCTTGTTATGTACCCAACAGTGTGGTGCTGGTCTGTTTGCAGGATGTGCTGGGATTCAACATGGCGGGACTTCAGTACCTGAAGAGAGAGATTGAGGCCAGGGATGAGGTGACATTTTTTGCTGATGCTACTGACCGTTTTGAGGAGAAGAGGAGGAAGAGGAAGAAGAAGGAGAAGATGATTCTTGCAGTGCTTTAGCGTCTGCTGCCCAAGACCCAGAGCAGCTGGATGGGGTCCTGTAGCCTCAGTGCTGGCCCTGGAAGTTTTCTTGTGGCTGAATAGCTGTGATGATGTCTGCTGGCTGGGACAAAGCCTGTCTGCTCCCCATGTGGTATAGCCCAGCGTATAACCCCAGCTCAGAACGGTTGTCTCTGAGATGAGCTCTCTGTAGGCTGCTGCAAATGCATGCATGTGAACTGTTTCTGAGGTGGCTGTGTGAAATGGAGGCGATTTCTCCTGCAGAAGAGTTCACCTATTCTGACTGTGTTCTCCACGGAGTGAATCCTGCACATGGAGTGCTGGGGAGACCATGCCCTGGCTGGGGAAGGCAGCTCGCAGGATTTCATGCTGCTTTGACACCTGCTGGTGGTTTGTGGCAGTGCTCAGAGCCTCTGAGCAAAGCTACGTGACCTCTGCCCAAGTGTGAGAGCTTGATCTGCAGCCACTCACTTCTTGATGGGATGGGAAAATATGGCTGCCCTCTATTAAAGGCATATTTATATATGCTTTATGAAACACCTTTTGTTCGTGGAGTTTTGTCCTGATATTTTTCTGTAAAGCCTCAACTGCCTTGCCTTATGTGTCAGTTCTGAAAGGGTTTGGGTTTTTTTATTCTGGCAGAATAAAATCTGTGGGAGCAAATGAAAGGGCTGCCATCCAGGCTTGTGGTATTCCTTACAGTTGGCAGGCTGAGTATGAGAAGCCTGGGTTGTTTGCATCGTACTTGCTCCAGTTGTCAGAAATTGCAGTGAATTGTTGCAGTGTTGTACCTGTCCTGTATCAGATAAAAGGATTTATTTTCACAGCAGGGGTGGTGGGGCAGGATAGAGTGAGCAAGGCTCTGCTGCTGCCTGTAAGTTACTAGTTTGTAGTACATGCTGTCTTTTTTTACCCAGTAATCACTGGTTTGGTGGATATCGTAGGGGCTGAGTAGTTTTCTGACTTTTGGACTTGTGTGTCTGAGTTGGGCACTCAGAGCAGGACCTCTTTCTAACTTGAGCTTTATGTGGACTTCTAATCGCATCCCAGTTGTTCCTGTCTTTGACTTTGGTTTTCTGTTAGTAGCAATTACACACAAGGCAAACAGTTCACTTGGTCGGTCTCTTGGCAGCACCTCAGGTGTAATAACCATGCCTATTAGAATAACTGTTGTTAGTAAATAACTGTGTCAGGGGGCTGATGGTTCACTTGCTACTTCAGAGCCTGGGTAACTTGCAGCAGCACCAGGATATGGGTCCCACAGTCTTTATGGGAATAGCAGTCTCCATACAGCTCTCTGACACGTTTCTGGATGCCTCTAAGATTTTGTATTTGTCCAGATATGGATGAAACTTGTCATAAAACAGTTCCATTCAGACATGTCTCCATCCTGACCTATTCTGTTCTATTCCACTGTATTCTGTTCTATGTGTTTCTCCCAAAGGAGACCCTCGGCAGTGGGAGGGAGAGGAGACTCTGTAGGATGATGAATTGTGTTGGTAACTTCAGTTGACATCTTCAGCTGCTGCTGAAATGTGCTAGTCCACTAGGAAACAAAAGGGTTACAGATGGAGGGGTGGCTTCAGCAGGGGACATTTCAGCAGTGGTGACTGAGGAAAGAGATACCAAACCAGGTACCAAAAGGCTGACTCTATGCTTCTGTGTGATGTGCTCTGTTTACCTTCATGTCAGGGCTATAAATGTTACAGAACCTATGTAAAGAGCTGCTGTGGGATGATCCTCTGGGAGGAAAAAGATGGCCAGAAGTGCACACAAACTGAGGAACCAATGACAAGGATGTAGATGGTGGTATAGAAGAGACACTTGGGATGCAGAGTCATCTCATGATGATGACGGGCGTCTCCTCTGACCTGAGGTGGAATTTCTTCACCTTTGTGCTGTTACTGGGATTTGGGCAGAATCCTTGGAAGAAAAAGTCTTTGAGGTGGTAGACGTTAGTTGTCCTCTCTCCACTGGTGCTAACACAGGCTTCCCCATTGAGCTTGCTCTCTGATTTCTACCGCTTGTGACCAGTCTGCCCCGGCAGCAGTGGCCTCAGTGCCCAGAATGCACTCCTGGCAGCCTGTAGAAACCTGAAAAACATCAGGGCAGAAATCAGCAGAGCCAGCTGGGTATATATCTGGTTTAGCACATTCCTGAGCTGGCTTTCAGCCTTGGTTTATAGGTCAAATCTGACTCAAAGGGCTGATAGACAAATAGCCTATGTCTGGTGAAGCAGTGCAAAACACCAGTAAAGGACTCGCTCAGCTGCTGTGGGAGCTCAGCACATGCTTTAAATGGAAGAGGTCTGTCCTGTGCCAGCAGTCCACTGGTATTCTAGAATCCTGATATCCTTGGGTACCTCAGCTTGCCTTTTCTTAGGTGCAGGCCCCTGGATTTACAAACCTGAATTAGAATTTGTGTCTCACCAGTGTGGATGGCAGAGTCCAAAACTGGCATTCATATTTCACACTGAAAGCTATTATTTAATCCCTGATCATGGGATTCTTGGTCACTGTAAGGAAAATTCCCCATCTCATGTCACATGCTGGGAAAAGCACAGGAAAGCACCTCATTGGAAACGAATAGAAAGCAGAACTGAACTTGGATATACAAATACAGTGTCTCACAAAGAGACTGAGATGTTTCTTTTAGTCACTACTGTGTCAGTGGGAACAAAGGAGGGAGGAAAGGCCATCTCTAAGTGGCTCAGTCTTCCACTACAAAGAGATGTGCAGAAAGCATCTGAAAACTATCAGAGCTGAGAATAAATGAGCTATGACAAGAATAATCCCTGTCAGTCCCAGACACAGCAAGTGTCACTTTGTGTACTCATAATCTGCATCTGGTGGCTGCAGCTAACTAAAAGTAAGTGAACACCCAGAAAGTTAAGCCTGTCCTCCATCCCTGGCAGTGTTCAAGGCCAGGTTGGGCAGGGCCTTAAGCAACCTGGTCTACTGTGAGGCATCCCTGCCCATGGCAGGGGGTTGGACCTGGATGATCTTAAGGTCCTTTCCAACCACCTATGTTAATCTGATTAAATAAATGAACAAGTCGACGTTAAGATGTTTCCATAAGATTATGCACAAGTGGTGTGCGAGTACCATGATGGCTACAGCCTGGCTTCAGTAGAACTGGCCTCTGCTGTTGGAAGGGAATAACGTGAGAAAGGGTTCTCACATGGGCTTCAACTAGATTAAGGGTTTGCTTTTTCTTTCACAAATTGAGTGGGATAAATACCATGCCTGTTGAGTTCAGGATTTGCAGTCTACTTGGGAATGCTGAAGGCTTTTGTGGGCAGCTTCCTGTGCAGTATTTGATTTTGAGTATATAAAGAGAATCTTTATGAACTGTTATAAATACCTAAGAAAACATAAATGAGGTATGATTAAGTTGGGTCAGATGATGCTTCAGGGAGTTTTGCTTGTTGGTCTCTACTAGGAGGTGTGGTAAATTTGTCAACAAGTCAAACATTGCAGGGAAGTTTCTAGATCTCAGTGGAGAGAATCACTGGCTCTGCTGACAGCCACCTGGAAGAGGTGATACCAACTTAAGAAGTTGTCACTGTGCCTCTGCAATGACTAAACTCTTTCTGTTGTGGATGGTTGAACATGACTGTTTAACCAAGACTTACGTTTGGAGTGTCATGGTTTCATGTTTTGTGAGACTAAACCATCCAGTCCGGAGTCCCTTGACACGTTTGAGATGGATATGGTTTTGAGTCCAGGGGATTTTGTGGAGAGGAGTGTTCCAGGAGGCATTTGGTACAGTTACTTGGGTAGCATAGAGTAGCTATCAAGTCGCAAAAAGACTGTCAGAACAGAAGGGAGATTGGGCCATGGCAATGGCAGCTATGATGAGGCCCTGCATTTGCTGTTCTAGACTATAACCGCATGTTAATCCGGAGGTAAAATTCCACACCGGAAAAGGTAAGAGGATATTTAAATGGGAAGGAGCTGTTTGCTGTACTCTGGGCAGTCCTAGAGCAGATGCAGCAGTCAGAGATGCATGTCTCTGTGGTTTCTGTTGAGAACTGACTGATATGGTTGCTTTTACTCTGGAGGAAGTGAGCTACAGCTGCGATTTCCTTACTGACTTGTTGGATAAATTGGCAGCCTGACAGATGCTGAAGTTAAAAGAGGATGTCAGTGTTAAACATATGAGGCAAATGGGGACTTTTGAGCCGAGAAGAAACATCCACAGACTTGCCGTTTATGACTACCTGTTCTCCATCTACTCTGACTCCAAGGCTACAGAAATGCGTTGCATGAAACCATGTGTGCAGAGGGTTGTGTGTGCTTGAACTTCTTACTTAAGGTTGCCCTCTGTATCTGCAAGACTCCTTTCTCCTATTAGACTTGCTGTCAATGTCAAAGGGTCAACAGTAGGACTTGGTTTGCATGAAAAGCAATAAAGAGAGGCTGATTTATTAGAGCTCAACTGGCTGCCAGGAGGCTCAGTGACTCCTTTAATGTGGAGACAGCCAAGTGAAGGGTTTGGGACAGGCTTGGGGAGGCTCTGCTGCGAGTGCCTCCACTGAGCTGAGCACCTGCAGTAATCTGTAAACCTCTTGCACTCGTCCTTTGGTTAATGTCATCCAGTGCTTCCTTTCCTTTCCTTGTCTCAAGTCATCATGTGTGTGTGATGGCAGTTGTGTGAGGTGGTGTGATGACAGAAGCCAAGAGGAGGTAAAACAGCTGTAATTTTATTTGTGACTGGTACCGCTGCATCCAGTACTTCTGTTAACTAGAAAGCTTCCAGGGTAGTGTAATCCGAAGCTGTGGCTTGGGGCTTGCAGGCAGTGCCCGGACTTTTGCTGCCATCCCACCCTGGGGGTATCCTTGTGGGCGACACTCGTAAGTGTCACTGGTCAGCACAGGTGGAATAACATGTTAAGGATCAAACCATTTCTCTGACTGACATAGTATGTGTGGAGGCTGTAATGAACTCTGGAAATAAGGCTGTGAAACAACTTGAATCTCCACTACTGCCTTCAGCTCAAAGATTAAAGACCAGGCAAAATGCTGGAGAAGGTCCAACCACTACCCTCACACTGCCAAGTCCCACTAACTTATGTCCTTAAGTGCCACATCCACACAGCTTGTCTGCAACTGTGTGTCCGAGGACTGGGTAAGTGGGAACAGAGCAGGAGCTGCTTTTGCTGGTATGCCACCAGTCATGTCTAGCTCAGTTCCACAATAACAGGCATGACGGACTTCCTGGGGTCACTATGAAGTAAATCTGGGGGTTTCAATGTCACTTCCACAGCATATTAAAGACTCGGTGGTGTTTCTCTGGTCAGTCTCAGAGGACCCTGAAGTTCTCTCTCCTTTGGTAAGGGTGGCTCTTCCCTGGGGGTGGAGTTTCAGTCAGGGATGATGGGAAAGATTTCCTATTATTTCCCTTTCTTTTTAAAAAGCCACATCTTTCTGAGCTTACTGTTCTTCCTTCCCCACTTCCCAAAACCTTGTATCTGTGATGTAAGCCGCTTTTGGTGTCAGAATCTTAACCTGTTCATTTGTTGTGCTTTTGAGAACGCCCATTTTTGTGTTTCTGAAAGGACAGTAAAGCTTCTTGCTACCTCAGCAGCCTGCACTGGGAATGATGCTTAAGGCTCCTGACAGGTAAAGGGTCCCCAGGGTTGGTGCTAGATGGTGTTTGTGTGCGAAGTAAGACAACAAAGGATATTTGCTCTCACGGGCAGAAGAAGAGTCTCTGTTTCTGTTAGTATTTCAATATCGTGGGCAATTTCTTCAAGGCCACCAGTATCTTCCCCTCCAGTTACCATGGCAAAAATCTCAATCTCCAGTTCAACCTGCAAGCCTGCAGCCACCTAGCAGAGACAGAGGGTTACTCACAGGTAAGGTGCATGTTTCATATACTTGTTTCTGATGACATTAAAGACTTAGTGCCCAGCACACGGGTTTGTGATTGCCAGTCACCCAGTATCTGTTTCACTAGAAAGGTCAGCACAAAACATGGCAGCTTGAGAGAAAACTGCCAGGGGTTTGTATTTTTTTCCCTTAAACTTCCTTTTTAGGTTGCAGAAGGGAAAAGGGAATTGGGGCAGCTGAGAATCAAGAAGAGGGGGCCTGCTGCAATAGGAATGGTTATAAACTAAAGGAGGGTGAGATTTAGGTTGGATATAAAGAAGAATTTCTTTTTACTGGGAGGGTGCTGAGGCACTGCCACAGGGTGCCCCAAGAAGCTGTGGCTGCCCCATCCCTGGCAGTGTTCGAGGCCAGGTTGGACAGGGCTTGGAGCAACCTGCTCTAGTGGAAGGTGTCTCTGCCCTTGGCAGGGGGTTGGAACTGGATGAGCTCTAATGTTTCTTTCAACCCAAACCATGCTATGATTTGAAGTACTGATTTGTGGCTAGGGCTCTGGACTAGGAGGTTTCACGTGCCTTCTGGCACTATGTTCTTACACAAGTCATTGTTTCTTGATTCCATGCCTGTAAAGGCATTGTCAAGAACATCATTGTCTGGTATGACCTGGATGCTGTGGGGATACTGAGCAGCACAGTATTTATCCACACACAGGTGAAGAGAGAGACTGAACAAAAGCAGAAATGTGACAATTTAGAATGCTCTGGTGCTTTGCTAGGTAAGACTTGAGGTGGAGAATAGTTGCAAACAGAAGAAATAGTTGAGGGAAGAGTTTAGTTCTTAAAGCTATTGGGACAGGAGATGAAGTCTAGGTGTAGGACAGAGCAGATGTTTGTTCTGAATGATGGGAAAACTCAGGCAGTAGTAGCGTATCCCATTTACTTCTAGAAAAGCTCTCTTGAATCTCAGTGTTTCACCTGCTGCTTTCCACTGAACTTTACATGTTTACCCCTTCGCATTCTGGCACAGGCTGAGACTGGGAGTGCATGGAATGCTTGGTTGAAGGCAGGAGAGAGACAGTGGAAGGCAGCATCACTTTAAACAAATCATGTGTTCCTTGCCAGCTTTATTCCCAGTCAGCTGGTGGGAGAGGAACCCAAGATGGCCCGAGGGTAATAAAAAGCCAAGGATTGTTTGTGTAACCTACAGGTCCTGGTGTGTACATCACTCTCAGTCCCGTGTGTGGAGGTGGCTGCTTCACCCGAAACCTGTCAGAGAGAGAAGAGAATCAGTTTGGAGCAGCTGTTTCAGGCAGGTAGGAGGCATTGCTGGAAAGAAGCCAGCCTGCTCTTCCTCTGCTTGTGCAGCCAACAGCAGAATGTGTTAGCTCATCCTTCCTGTCACAGTGTACAACTTGGGCTGCAGCAGTATTCCTGGGCCTCTCCTCAGGACTCAGGTTTCTAACAGAAGCACCCAAAGGAACAGATGAATGGGCTAAAGTCAGACTCCAGAGACCTCTTTACACTGACTGGACCTTACAGCAGCATGTGAAACGTCAGCGTGCTCAGCCTGCATACACAAGGGAAGCTGAAATGCACATTACATCTCCTTGGCAAACATCTGCGTGTTGCACACCCAGAAGTCCTACACGATCTTTATTTAATGCCCTTTTATATGATTCTATTGCAGACAGATACCAGTGTAAATTGTGTGTAAATAATTTCACAGTACCCACTAAGGCAGTGGTTTCACTTCTTCATTTCTCACTGATGGTTTCACATCTCTGCAGCCCTTTTGTGCACACAACTTCCACTGTCAAGGTCTCTGAAGGTCACTATAGCAGATATGACCTCTACTTTTGTAAGGCTCTGGACTTTATCCTCTGGTTTTCATCTCTACCCGAAGAACAGTTACCAGCCTGTGCTTGCACCAGAGGCTGTTAAAGGAAAGGCAGTAGAAGAGCCATTGCTAGTATATGGCTCCATCTTATGGAAGGCTCTGTCAGACTTCTAAACTGGCTGCCAGAATTCCTGTTCTTTCTCTGGAGCCTGGACTGTTATGAGAAGCTGGACTAATTTTCATCAGGATGTCCCAAGTTTAGACTATTATATGAACAATGTGGAAAGCAATAGTTAGCTACTGTCCCTGTCATTGAAAAGCTCTGGCTGCAGCACGAGGCAGACATAGGGCAGAATTGCCATTCAGGAGCTTGCAGTTCAGCTTTCCTGTCAAAGCATCAACTAAAAAGCTTAAAAGCTAGGCTGGACTTACCAGAATCATGGTGGTATTTTCCTTGACTCTCCTTACTGCTGTCCTTAACCAATGCTAATGTTGCAGGAAAAAAGCAAAGACTATTTATCACCCGTGCTAAACGGAACCAGCTTCTGAGTGACCTGGACTGGTCTCAGAAAATAGACAAATGGGTGAGTTTGGCCTGAATAGCAGCTTTTAGTTAACTGCTAAATAAAATCAGACTCTCTCAACCTGCAGGAGGTAACTGAGGGTAGGGAGGCATGAGAGGCTGACAACAGAGAACTTTGGTGGGCACAGCTGTCGTGGAACACAGCAATTTAAAAAGCTTGGTTTTGGCTTTGGGACTTTTGAGCCATCTGAAATGAAAGCCTCCCACCAAGTACTGAAATTCCTGAAACCAGCTGGTGGGATTATAACAATTCAAATGTGGCTCTTTTGAAGTGACAGAGCTTAGGTGGAAGCCCAGAAGCTGTAAGGACATAAGAAACCTGTTGCTGCAGGCTCTCCTTTCAGCTAAAAAGCAAGATACACATAGCACAGCTAAGGCAAGTCCAGTTGAGCAAACTGAGGGTGAGAAAAAGATTTTGCCCTCTTTTCTTGTCATGGGGGAGGACAGGGCTCATAAGCCTAAAGTAAAACCACTGGAGTTGTGCTGGTGCAAGAGTAATGGAATGAACATGTGTGCAGTGTGACTCCAAAGGGGAATTCTAGAACAGAAGAGCAATCATAAGTATTTTCTTACTGTATTTATATATTCTTTAAGCTGCAGCTGGGTAAATAGGATCATTTCCTGTGATTTGTCATGCAAAGCAAGAGACAATCTGCTGGACTGCAGGCCTAGAAATGGACTCACTTCTCCCCACCCCGCTGGAACACAAGTACAGTGCTGGTTTGAGCCATGCACTGAATAAGGGAAGCGTGTGCACAAATCAATGCTTTATTTGCCATGTATTCTGCCATCACTGGAGCTGTTTCTCAATGCAGCTAAAAAGACCTGTGTCTGCCTGAATACAGCTGTGCTCATTTCAACTGACTTGCAGCATCCAGCACCATTTCCCAAAGCCAAATGTTAACACTGGTTTCCGTGAAAAACTTTGGTCCCAGAACCTGAGAACTTCAGTGAGAATGAGTAAATCATCTGTATGGGCCAGGACTATGCATCCAGGGCCTGCTGGCCCTTACTGCTTTCCATCTTCCTAATAACATTCATATGCCACTACTGCTGAAGTATTTCTAACATTATTTCTTCTACCCAGTCAGTCATTATTAAATGATTCCAAATATAAGAATAGCATTTGTTATCTCACATTAATCAGATCAGAAGGTTGACAACAAGCAATGCATATTTGGACAGTTAAAACCCAAGGTACTAAAAAAATCAAACTAACCTTGAGAAGTTCACACCAACGTTCTTCAGGATCGCTGTGGCGGCATAGGTGCAGCCTTCCTTTAGTACCCCAAATGTCACGCTGGGTGGAATGAGGTGGAAACCACTAAGCTGCTGTCCTGCTGTTGCAAGAGAAGACGTGTTGACCTTTCCCGCGACAGGATCTTCTATCTTTGCAAACAGAATTAAAATGTTAGATAACAGAGAAAGTTGATGGCCATCAAGGTAAGTTTGGAGTTACTTAGCCTACATTTGACCTCTGGTCACTCATCCTGAAGAACTACAAAAAGACATTCTAATTTGAGTAAGAACTGAAGAGGCACTTTGAGTATTGTCTGCAAACTTATACTGGTTTGAGTTTTCAGACTATTAAGCCATTGAGATGTCTCAGGGGAAATGGGAGAAGTTCTGCTCTTCTGGAGTTTTCATGTGGATGCCTGGTGCAAAGTTTGGCCTAACAGCTGAGAGGAAAGGTACTTTTAGAATTGCCAGTAAACTTACGTATAGCATAGAATCATTTAGGACCTTTAAGATGACTGAGTCCAACCACTACCCTTGCACTGCCAAGTCTCACTGAACTATGTCCTTAAGTGCAACATCTAAATGGCTTGTGAGAACTTCCAGGGATGGTGATTCCACCACTGCCCTGGGCAGCCTATTTCAGTGCTTGCCAAGCTTTTTGGGGAAGAATTGTTTCTTATCTCCAGTCTAAACCTCCCCTGGTGCAGTCTGAGGCCGTTTCCTCTTGTTCTACCGCTTGTTCCTTGGAAGAAGAGACCAACACCCACTGATAAGGTCCCTCCTGAGCCTCCTCTTCTCCAGCCTAAACCCCCCAGGTCCCTCAGCTGTTCCTCATCACACTTGGGCAACACAGGTGAAGGGTCTGGAGCACTCCTCTGGACCTGCTCCAGCACCTCAATGTCTCTTGTAGTGAGGGGCCCAGAACCAAACACAGGATTCGAGGTGCAGCCTCCCCAGTGCTGCTGGCCATGGTTTTTCTGATACAAGTAAATAAATCCAAAATACCTTCCAGTATTGCCCCAGAGTAAAGATTTTATGCAAAAGAGATGACCGAGAGGATATTAATATTAACAAAAAAATGTTATTTTACCTTTTTATTTGGTATGGAGTTTGGTTTTCTCCCCTGAAGGGATAACGGTAATTTAACTTTCTCTGTTCTTGGCTGTCCTGCAACATCCACCAGCAGACTCTGAACTTTATGTTGTAAAGGTGTCTCTTGCCATCTTGCAGCCTGGTTTAGGCCTGGACAAGGAAGATTTCCAAAAGCACAAAAAAACTAAGCATCATATTAAGCATAATCCTGAAAGTCTTCTTTAGATAAGAGCTTTATTTTCTATGAAAGCATCTGATCAGCACAAGGACAGAACTGGTCTCATTTCAGCGGTCAAGAAATCTGCAAATAGTAGTATGTAATTAATGTAACTAATAAGCCAAGTTGTACTGTATTTATTAGAACTAATCAGTGGAAATTTGCAATGAAGATACAGACACCTGTGGAAATGATTAAAACCAGAAGTGTCAGTACAAAACCTTAAGCACTAAAATTAACATCAAAGCCATTGCTATTCCAGAGGCAATGCTGCCTCTGCCATCAGCTGTACAGAAACAGGCTGCTCAAGTCAGATCTGTCTGTTCATATAACAACAAATTCCAGTCCAGGTCCCAAAGCAGTACAGCTTCATCAGCATAATCGGGTAGGAAGCACTGTCTCTGAGCAGGATTTATTGTCTTGAATGCAACAGTTCATTCAGATGTATGACTTGTATGTGTCTGACTCTGGGGTTAAGATGATCTTTGCTGTCTTTTAATCTTTGAACTGTGCTCTCCTCCATAATGGAGAGTATGAGCATAGGGATGACCAGAGCAACTTAGATCTAAATACAGCTTTTTTTGCTTGACAGCCTAAGACTCATGTAGTTTATGGTAAAGTCTGATAACCTCTGGAGAGAAAACACATGACAATTATGGTGGCTGCCTTCTCAGGAGATGAACAGCTGAATATTTTGCATGGAAGAGGATTGTTTTTCTGTTTGGACTGCAAGGACCTGTCTAGCTGGAATGCCAAGTCTGGTCAGTTAGCCATTGCGAGGAAGCAAAAGTGTTACTTGAGAATAGCATCTTCTCTAGATTCCCCTCTAATTTCCAGACAACAGAACTGCAGGTGGTTGAGAAGGGCTTCCCATCGACACAGCTAATGGCCCACAGCATACAACAAAAAAACCTAAGCATGGACATTAGGGAAAAAAACATCAGCATTTCTTGTTTTGCCTAAAGGTGAGCAACATTTATGCTTTGACATTAGAAGTTAGTGTAGTTTTGGCAGCTCTCTCTCCACACACACCCTCTCTTCTTGCCTTCTTGTCCCTCCCAAGGTGCTGCTCCTTTCATCACTTACCCTCTGGCTCTGGAAGTACAGGTGAGTACATACGCCCCAAGGTCTATGGATTATGCATAAATAACAGAGGAAATTTGGGAGGTTTGAAGGCAACAGCTTGTTGGCAGTAGTGGGCAAACATTCCCACTCCTAAGAAAGTGTACCAGAACGAGTGTAAGGAAAGGGTGAAGGGAAACCAACTATGAGATGCAAAGACAGATTTTGCAAGCATGCACTGCCAAAGTTCAGCTGGTGTTTGGCATTATGTGAGCACCAAAGGTTGGGAACAATTAAAGCAAACTAGTATCTCTCCAGTGCTGATCATCCAAAGCTGCCACCACACGCAGATGCATAAATAGAGGGAACAACAATAAACATAGCAACGAAAGCAAAACTGAACTGGGATGTTTCAATGGCAAGGACCATTTAATCACAGCAAACTCTGTTCTGGAGTGTTTTGTTACAGATCTTCATGAGCAGGAATATTCAGCTTGTGCAATTTTTGTTTTAGGAGAGAAATTACTTCTTGGATTTGTCTGCAGTTCTATCCGTCACCCCCATGTTGTTACAGCAGTGTCCTAGGGTGAAGGAGAAAATCTCTGCCATTAGTTTTATACCCCTCTTCTGCCAGTCTTGCATTTAGATGTATTCAGGATGCTGAATAGAGGTAGGTAAATTTAAGTTTCTATTGTAAATATTTTGTCAAAAGTTATAAGAAGATAGGTATTAGCCTGCTCCAAACTACATTCTGGAAGTCGGCTTTACCTGTTGTGCTGCTGGAACCTTTATTTTCTTTGGAATGAGCCTGCAGCAGGTGGTCAGGCGAAGATGAGCGATCACTCATGGTACTGAGACATTCAGCTGCCAAAGGGAAAATAATGGAATACTAAGAAAAGTGTTTTTTATACTCACCATTTTCATAAACATACGAAAAACAATTCACAAAGTCTTTGGCACTTTAGACAACCTTTGAAAGCTGTCTGCATGTGACACACTGCTTCACTGGGCAATGGAGATCAAAAATACATATCTTGTGATTAGTCATTTCTTGTTCTCTTTCTAACCGAGCAATAAACCTTAAAGGGCTAATGGGCAATTTAACACACGTCTGCTGGTGATTGCAATACGGTGATTCAAAATGAGGAAATATGGGAATTAGTGGGGGGCTGAGAAGGCCCTGTGGAGGACTGCTTCCTGATAGGACTCTTTGCTGTGTATGAGTTTTAATGTCGCTATGTGATTTCAGTCATTTTTCAGGGCTACTTTTCAAACAGAACTGAAGTGTTCCTCTCAATGCTGTAAAGCTCAAACCTAAGATGATGGTTCACTCTTTCACTGCTTCCCATCATCCAGTCACTGATTTCTTCCTGTATCATCCAAACTAACTTTATCCTGCATGTTTCCTATTCCACATCACTTTTGCCCCAGTCCCCAAGCTGCCCCTTTTACCACTGAGTTTCAGAATTCCATCTTCCTTTCTTTTTTTTCCCTACAGTCAGACTAGTGCTTTTCTAAACTCCTCAGTTCTTGCTCATCAAGAATTATTGTTTATTCCACTGAAGTTTTTCTTGAGCACTTTGCATCCATCCACCACTCATTCATAGCACAGGCCCTCAGCTTTGCATCTTAAACCTATGGTGCTCCCACCTCAGTGTTGTTGGCAAAGGCTTCAACACATTAAATGTAAAAGTTTCATAGACCACATTTATATTAGTGGATTAATGAGGAACATTCCCAGTTACTAGAATATGCTAATCTATACTTTTAACTTGTCAGAACACTGGTATGATGTTGACCGTGGAACTTAGCGATCTCCCCAAAAACATGGGTTACATAAGTTTTGGTCAGGGAAAAGCCCACCTTGATCTGGGAGACTGAATTTACGCAGCTCACTCGGTACTGGTGGATCTCAATGTCAGGGAGTGCTGCTGGATAAGTTTCATGTATCAGAATAGATACAGCCATTGTGGTTCAAGTAGTTATGTGTCAAAATGACTGGGAATCCATAGGGTCAGTGAGACAATGGACAAAACAATGAAGAAGACACTGAGATGTTGCCAGACAGCAGATTACCTGTACTGGGTTTCTCAACTGTCTCCACAGGGAAATTGCCATTTTCCTGTTTTTGAACCGGAGGAAGTTTCCTAGACAGTGCTTCCACATCAGGAAACTAGAGGAAAGTAAGAAAGAGGGTTTAGATCTCCCAACTAAACACTCAGGGAAAAAAAAAAACCAAAACCAAACCAATGGGTGCAAATGAAACAAATAAGCAGAACCAAAGTGGTGACTATAAAAAAGATAGACATAAGTAAACCTCAGATTCCAAAGTACATTTGTGAGTATGCTTTATGCACTTACAGCATTTATCAAGTGAGACTACACTAGGAAAGTTCCCAAGGCCGCTTTTAACCCAGGAGGGTGAGTCTTATTAATTCCCTTTCTAGTTATGAGCAAGAGGTTTAAGACGGGTAAGTGAAAAGACATGAGGTTCAGCTTTTGCTCCAAATCGGACTCTTCCCAGAGCGCATGTAAGGAATCTACAGAGTTTGTACTCAATAAACATACAGCATCTCCAAGATACGTTCCCTTGGACAACGGCATATAATTCTCACCATTAATTCTGCCACAACTGTTCTCTCTGTAATGGTTTCTTGAGATAAATTGAGGCTGAGATACAAACCCAAAACTATTTTTGTGGGAGCAGGGCACTAACTACCTGGCCTAGCACAAACTCCCCCACTTTTCAGCTACATTACCTTTGCTAGGAAAAACTCCTTGCTAAATTCTGATTCAAAATACGGAGGAATTATTTTGTATCTTATTGCCATCAAGGACTTCTTTTCTTCCTCAAGTTCTTTCCTAAGCAAGTTGTAGCATTTTTGGTAAGGAAAAGAAAGAAAAACGCGTTAGAACTGAGTTCACACCGATTTTCAGTGTTACATTGAGAACACTGAGGAATGGAGCTGGTAAAGGCAAGCAATATCAAATTATATTCTTTTTATTTGCAATTATCTCAGTGATAGATCAACAACAGGCTGGTCTGTCATGCCCAGACATTGACCTCCTCAGCTGTGGTGGAGATGATTTATGGAGGAGCTGACCAAAATGCATATGGACAGTGGTTGGCTGTTAAGGAGAGCTCCTCCTCGAAACATGCTCTAGTTGTCTAAGTCTTGTGGAACACATCTGAGACTGACAATAGCATTTTTTCCAACCTTCCACCAACCATTTACATGAGAATTGGTATTTCAGATGCATTGCTAAAACACGTAACACTAAATTAATCTGGTTTCTTTATTTTATCACAAAAAACTTTGATGTCTCTGGATACAGAAAAAGCTGTTCAAACTTCTGAAGATAAGATTCACCAGAGTAAAGACCAGTTATGGTTTCAGCTTGATTTAGTCCAGTTTTACAATGCTATAGTTACACTGACTTGCAAGGTCTAACATCAGCTATGAAATCATCACCCTTAATGATATTGAAAGTTTTGACACTGGCTTTAGAGCCAGAATTGCACATGGTGTTCTTAGGTGCCGACTCAGACACACACACTTAAAGCAGTTCTTTAAATAGTATGCAAATCAGTGTAAAATACTGTATCAGAATATAAATCTGAAATTATAAGAGTTTTTTATCTCATGCAAGTCAGAAAGTAATTAAGAAGTAGTATGAAAGGGAACATTTTCAATTGTTATTCAACCTTTCGCAAAAGTATGAAAAAGCAAGTTTCTGATCACATTAGTTCATCACCATTTCAAGTTGTGTTTAATTTAAGAAAGACTAAATGACCTAAATAGATGTCAAGATGATTTTCATTTTGTTGTGAATTAATGTGCATTACTGGTAACTTTCTCTATGTTAATCCTCATTCATGTACCACAATTTCTACTTCAACCTTGTGGCAAAGATGAAAAGCAGAATCCTGGGCTGCATGAGGGGGAGTGTTGCCAGGCCCAGGGACATGTACCCTTCCCTTCTGCTCAGCCCTGCTGAAATCACACGTGGAATTCTGTGCCCCTTTCTGACCAACCTGATACACAAAAGGGCTACAAAGCTGATTTAAGTGCTTGAAGGATCTTTCAACTACAGAGAGTCTACAAAAGAGAGCTGTGAGTTTTCCCTTGAGAAGCTGTGAAGCACCCCCATGTGACAGACGTGCCTGGGATTCTATTTGAACAGCTGGGCTTACCCAGTGGAATACCCAAATCTTAACTTAATGTATCAGCATTTGAAAATGTTCCCATAAATCATTTTCCATCCTGGTGGCAGAACCAGAAAACAGAACACAGAGCTTCTGACTTCAGCCCTGTTTGGATAGTGTAAGTTATCAGTAACACTGCTAGGTTTTGAAAAAAAAAAAGAGAGACTTCATCCATCCATTCAGTATTTCTGTTACAGAGAACACCCATTATTTGCCAGCAATGCTAGTGGACCATTACCCAACACCCAGTGAAATCAATAACAGTCTTGCCAAAGGCAGACTTAAGTTAGCTCATAAAATAAATAACTTTCTGTCCTATTAATGCTATTACCTGTGCTCTTCTTTTCTCCTCTGCCACTTGGACACTGGTCTTAGTCCTTTCAGGCTGGTTGATCAGGGAAGCGAATAAAGGAGTGAAAATGAGAAAACCAGTATTATGTTTTTTAAGCACAAACATACTTACAAGATAAGCCTGGAAAATTATGAGAGTATGTTTTGTTAACATCTCCGGTGACTTGGACTTTGACAGTTGGTACAAAATTGTTCACTCATATCTATCTCTATATATATCATATATAATTTTTATTATATTATTCAAAGTAACCTTCAAAATCTTTTTCCAACAAACTTTGAAGCATCTTTCAGATAAAGAGGCACAGAGAGACAAAATAATCATAGGAAAAGGTAGTGTAATGTTGTGGTATGTCTAGAGATGTAGGTGCCAGTCCTTAATGACAGCCAGTTAAGAACATTGCCTTGCCCATGTGCTTGGTTCCATCCTCTGTGTTACTCACATTTGCATCAGTTCTCACTGGTCTGTCCTACCTGCACCTCTGCTGCTGGTCCTCTCCTTGCGTGGTGATTGTCTTCGCTGTGTGATTCTGTCGAGGAGAAGCCACTGCCTGTTCATACAGCTCAGTTATGTGAGCTGCAAGGTGAAGAGTATTATTGAATGTGTGTGTTCTGCTAATCACTGCTAAGTGTTATGAATAAAAACCTTAGAAGGATATATTTTTAAATGCATCTTTCTGTCACTTGATGAAAACCTAACAGATTCTGTACCACCGTGAGGGAAGGGGCAGAAAGAACTTCAAAATCAAATTCTGAACATTAACAGACAGGAAATCAAATCAATGTACCAAGCACAAGAGGCAGATTAAGTTCATACCCCCTGTATTTCCTGAAATCTCTTTATCATAAGAATCATATATCATAACACTATCTAGGTGTTCCTGCTCCGGCAGGGGGATTGGACTAGATGATCTTTCGAGGTCCCTTCCAATCTCTAGCATACTGTGATACTGTGATAAGAATCATATATAATAAGATATATCTTATCATAAGAAATATCACCATAAGACACAAATCAAACATCTGTCAATAGGAAAAATTGCTGATATTCAGTCACTTTCTGCCAGGGGAGCAACGTTTATGTCTCTATCTCCTACTGAAGAAAGTAATGTGGGCTTTCAGGAACATTTATTACTCTCAGCTTACTTAAGTTGTGCTTAATTACATCTCTGAAGCAGCCATAATCAACACTTATGGAAGGAATTACTAGTTCAATATGTAGAATGGAGAAAAGCCAGTCTTTCCTTATTTAAGACTGTGACCAGTTCTGGGGCTTTAATAAGGAGCTTCCCTATCCTCTGACACCGTCTTTTACAAAATGTGTTGTATACTTGATGCTTTGAACCTAAAGAAATTTCCTTGGTTGAAAACAAATTTCTGTGGCAAAATTGAGGAGATTAAAGTATTTGAATGATACAATCCAATTTGACTATGACAATGTATCTCAGCGTTTCAGGGGATTTGGGCAGCTTTTTCACCACAGAAGACTTTAATTTCTATGCTTCTTCTATTTTTACCTTTTAAAGAGTTTTTCTTTCCCAGTATCATCTTCATTAATAACGTTATGTTAAAATCGCACCTCCATTTAAATCAGGAAACTGGGGAGCAAGCATTTGTTGCAGCAGTTTTCATTTACTTTGCACAGGATGCCTTTTTTAACAAGCATAAATATTCTTGACAACACAGGAAGGACAGAAAAATAACCCTTTGAAGGCTGGCATCACTATGGGATTGAATACTATAACTTTTGCTCTGGAAATATGAGTCAAAATGCCAAACACACATGCCTAAACATAGGAATTGTTTTTTAGAGGTACTGAAACATTAATGCTAATAAGTTTTAATCACCTGTGAAAATCACACAGAATTATCTAGCACACAGACAAATTCACCTTTATGTTCCTCCTTTAAAAATAATACTACAGTACTTTAAAACTTACTATGATATTTTACAGTTTAGAAAGATATTCAAGTTTTATTACCTCTATCACTGAGATTTTCAATTGACTTCTCCCAGTTAGGAAAGGACTGCAATGAAATGGAATAACTGTGACCATTTGAGAAACAGACTTCACAACAACAGCATCCTGCTCAAAGGATTTCCATCCTAAACAAGTGTTGTTACCTGAGAATGTGACTACAAGACTGGAGGTATTTCAGTGTGTTAGAAAACATGAGTTGGCAAAAAAGGAAATGAAGTACAATTTCCCTGGTCTAAAGAGGTATTAATTTCCTTCTTGATGACCTACTTCACAGATGGCTTTGTATTTTATATGGTTGCTGTTTATTAAATCAACTAAACCAGTTCATAATCAAACTTGAATCTGTCTGCAAGGGATTTGAACCAGATCTAAAACTCATGGTCACAACAGGAAGTCAAATGGAAAAAGTGTCCAGCAATTTGTAGGCTTCATTACTGAGGAGCAATCTTGTAGTTGGCTTACAGTAAAGTCTTTGAGGGGTAAGCAACTCTAAACTAAGCTGTTTCCTTTATTCTCATGCTATCCCTGAACACCAGAGATCCTATGACCAGGCAGTCTAGGTTGTAACAGAGATAGGGAAAAACCAAGACTTGTGAGGAGTGTGACACAGATTCCTAGGTCACAAGAAGGTCCACAATGAGACTCTACTGCTCAGAAAAGAGTTGTCCAGTGTGAAATCTGTACCTGGAAATGTGCTTATGGTAGCCAGGACAACCAACAATAATTAAGTCACTAGATAAGTTCATTGGAACCAAGCAGCATGTGAGATTCAGCACTTGGATCTCATCAAAACAAATAGAAAGAGGCAGATGTAGTTACTGACACATCTCTTCTCTACGTTCCTCTTTCCAGAGGATTTGTGAGCTCCTTCCAGGTTCTTTTGCTAGATACTTCTTTTCTCTACTCTCTTTTTAAGACTTGTATGTCATTTGACAATAATGAGCAAAAAAATAAATACCAAGGCTTTTAAAATCAAAAAATAGGCTTTAATTTCAGCAAATGAAAATGCTATCTTGGCTAAAAAGTTCAGAGACAGATTCTAGAACAAAGTTAAAATAGCATTATAACATTCTAGAATAAAGTTAAGATCTATCCAGAAAGCCAGGAAAAGGAAATTAACAGCATTTAAAAGTGGAAAGATTTCATTCCTAGTATTTTTTTCATGTTGAGACAAGGTTTAAAAGGTAGACTGTAAGGGTAAGATGTGTTTGCTAGAATACACTCACATTTGAAAGGTCAATGGAAGTGAATATTTAAACTAACATGGCTAGATTGCATTTTTCAAGTGCCAGATTTTTTATTTCAGTATGTCTGAATTCACTACATGCAGGTTATTTGATTAAGTGGAAATAAAAGTATTTGAGTCTAAAAAAGAAAATGATGCTTATTAACTACTAAAGATTTAGGATGTGAATTCACAGCATGAAAGTTGCCAAATTTGAAGGAAGCTGTAGAAAACAAATTATTTAAAGAACTGAAAGAAAGCAAACTGATCACTCTTTCCGTAAGATGTAAGCAGTGTTTCTCTCATCCATACTAATTCATTCCACCCACTTCTGTTTCTTTTACCACTCATCTCTCACTAACCTCACTGTTTCCTGACTGCTACTCCAAGTCCCTCTTCCCCTATTTAGCTACTTTTCCCATTACTTATTCTCCTCCTTTTCTTTTCATGCTCTAGTAATCTGTGCAAATGAGCAGAGCACCTTTACCCCAAAATAGAAATGCTTCTCAGCAGTAATAACAATATTCTTTCAAATTGTTTTCAGATTATCTCAAAAGCAGGGCTTAAGCTCTTACCGTGGAGGTGGCTGTGGTTGAAATACCCAGCTGCAATGACAACAGACTGGAAACATTCCCATCTTAACGTGGGGGAATATGCACATTTCAGTAATTTTGGCCTTTGTGTTTCAGAATGATTCATTCCATAGAGCCAAACTTCTGAACTGTTTTGAGGGCTGCTACCCCAAAATGGTAGTAGTGCCATGCAGCAGCCCAGCTGAATGCTGAATGTGGCTCTTGCTTTACCATTAAACTACGGCAGAGACAGCACTATGCTTTCCTGACATTTGCTATTAGTAGACAATGATGTGTTTTAAGACTGACACTTCCAATACAATACAATGGTTTTGTTGGAAAAGGAAGTTAAAAATGTAATTTTTCTCACTGTAACCAGTTCAAGGAGACTTGTGGCATTCTCCTTTTCCTCTTCAGTTCGTGGTTCTTTTACGTTCATTTCTTCTAGCTCTTTTTCCTGCTTTAAAATGTTGTCTGTATATTCCTGGTGGAACAATGAAAAAAGAACAAGAACGATGCAGACGTTTTCTTTGCATAGGTAGGCTTAAGGGCACATACATAGGGAAAAGAGTTGGAAGTGACCTTAAACATTATCTAGTTAACCCTCTGCAGTGGCGGGCTCTTCAAAGCCCCATCCAACCTGGCCTTGAATGTTTCCAGGGATGGGGCATCCACGACTTCACAGGGAAACCCATTCCAGTGCCACACCACACTCAGAGTGAAGAATTTCTTCCTAATATCTAATCTAAATCTCCCCTCTTTCATCTTAAAGCCATTGCCACATGTCCTGTCACTACACAGCCTTGTAAGAAGCCTCTCTTCAACTTCCTTGTAGGTCCCCTTTAGGTACTGGTCTCCTTGGAGACTTCTCTTCTCTAGGCTGAACAGCCCCAACTCTCTCGGCATGTCTTTGCATGCTATTTCTCAATGTCATAAAGGTCCCATCTATCAATTTTTGTGAATGGATTATACAGATATTTAACAGTCTGCACAGAGAAATAGTTTTTAGGTCAAAGAGACAAGTTTTTCAGACAGGGTCTTACTTTGCCAGAATCACACCAAGTGCTACAGAAAGGAATGCTGTAGAAGCTCAGTTGGATGGAAAAAAAGGGTCCTTAAAAAAATGTTGTCCTAATACACCACTCTGCTAGGAAGCTACATGCAGTGCCAAACTTTATGACAGACAAGGTCTGCAGAACCAATCTGTTTCCAGTTCTTTTTCATTCCTTTATACCTCTTATGTCTTGAAGGAGACAGAGGAAGGAAGAATACCTTTTTCTTTAGATCTTGATTTATTTCTGAAAAAGTGAATATTTGGCTAAAAATTTAAGATACCTCTTTCTGGAAAAAAAAACATTACTTAAATACTAATATATGAGCAATGAGAATATTTCCATTGCACATTAACAGCATTATTACAACAGTGTTCTTGGTGTCAGTAATTGCAGTTCTTCCTTCCCAAGGTAACCCAATGGCATTCTTCTTTCAACAGATCTGGTCAATGGAGAGACTCAGCTTGGGATTGTGGTGTTAAATTAATAAATTATAGAACACGTGTAATTTGCTCTAATTGGTAAGTAATAATGAGGTTTTTGTTCTAAAATCTCTTCTAAGAGCATCCTCTCAGTCTGAATTAAAGAAATCAATGTTTTATACCAACACTGTAAACCTTCTGATAAGGATCAACTGCAGAACTTTCAGATTCCACCTCTGAACACTTGCAGATGAGGTATAGCTTCCACCTTGTTATGAACAAGTCACTAATGAGGGATGGACACACACTTTGTCAGGAAGGCTACATAGCTGTTTTCTAGACATGGAGAGATTGACAGAACTAAGACTTGAACTTGGAAATTTTCTCTACTGATTTATGAAAACAATTACACAGCCAAGACTACAGTGTGTCTCAGTGACCAAATTAACTGTAGAATTACGGTGGGCAAGAAATTCTTATACAACTTTATAGATTTCAGTTTGTAAGGCTTTGTGAAGGGAAACAAAACTTAAGCAAAGTAAAAGCAAAGTAACACATCAATATTGACAACATGGATGCTATTGTTAGTGTACTATCTTTGATGTGTACTGGACTGGATCCCATGTGCTTACACAGAGAATAGGTTTCACAAGAGATAAGTAGAACAGTTGAGCTGCTTCAGAAATACACTTTTCTTAGAGCACTTCTCTATGTATGAAATGTTGATTGTTCAAATGTAGAAAAGTTTTTTCTTTGCCTCAGGTATATACTGCAAATGCGTGTCACCCACTTTGGAAGAATAAATAAATATGATTGTACTACCTTGAGGGAAAGCTGCAGCTTTTCTCTTAGTTCATCATTGAGTGGCTTATACTGGAACAGCTGACGGATTTGCAGTTTATGAGGACATTTTCGCACAGGTACTGACAAGTGTGTCTGCTCTTTGGATTCAACGCAGAGACCCCTCCAAAGACATGTTCTGGCTGAGGGATCTGTGATCTTCCTCTGAACATAGACAAGAACAAGCAAAAGAGCAAGAGGCTACTTATATTACTGGCTAAATGCACATACAGCAATGTGTGTCTCATCTGAAAAGCACATGCTCTCCTTATAGCATCACAGCTCTAGACAATAAAGCCAGTAGATTCCTGGCCACAATTTATCTGGCAAGATGAACTCCCCTGAAAATGACTGTATTCCCCCACTGAGTGTAAAAGAAGCCCAAGAAGACCGCATTTTCCCTGACACAGCCTACCCCTTGCTTGGTCTGCTTAAGAAACTAAACTTAACAATGTCACGTTGTTTAGAGCTCCATTTCACAGTGACAAACATCTATTGCTTAAGCAGGAAAAGACAATTTTGGAAAAATTATACCTCAGGAGGAGAATATGTGTCCTCTCGGGTCCTTGGCTGAAGATTTGGAGGAACAATACTCTCTGGTTCTTTCTTCATTTCCCAGGGGGAAGCTTCAGCCAAAGGGCGGAGGACGGTAATACATAAAACACCTGGTTTAAAGGCAGATTTTTCCAAGAATCAGTTCAAATAAAAAAATGATGGACAAGAGTCTCCGACCTCCAGAAAAATGTACTCACCTAAGTGTAAAAAGCTCTTACCATCATGTAGTAAAAGTCCATGTGAAAATGTGATCCTTGTGGCTACAGATACTATTGGATCGCTGAGGTGATTACAGAATACTTGGAACTAGTTCAGACACTCTGACTCTTTAACAACAGACTGCCTACACTTCTTGATTTGACTCTTGGGTGTTGTATAGTGTGTGTACTTCACAGTCTAATTACTGGATGGATTCCATTAGAAGATGATTTGGTTTTATTGTTCTGATTAATTTTAATGTTCATAAAAATATTTTTTCCAACCCAGCCCAAAAATCTATTTAATCTACTATTATCTATCTCAGAGGTAGCCTTCAAAATGGCTATTGCCATTGAGGTACCTTATCACAATGATACAAAATTGTAAAGCTTGCTCTCAAGGCAAATAGAGCCAGTACTGTGAGAGGCAGAGTGTGAAGTCTGGAAAAGCAGATGTGCTACTATGAAAAATGACAGGCAGTTGTGAGCAAGTTTTCTTGACTGGGATTTTCACTGGGAAGGTATCTTCTCCATCCTCCCGATCTCCCCACCTTCTGGATCTTTCTGACTATCTCAGTGCCCTTTTCTCTTTACCCATGGCAAAATTATTTCATTAAGTTTTTACAATGGGGAACCAGTCATTACTGTGAATAGAAGTAGAATTTAGAAGTGTACAAGACCTGGTAAGAGCAGTAGGTGGGAAAGATGTTCCCCAAGCTTATGTTATAAACCTTTGAGAAGAAAATACTTTATGGCTTGAAGCAAACTATCATCTCCCCGCATCATAAGCAGAGGAAGCATATCTTCTTGTCTTTTTTGTTTGTTTTCTTAGGACCTTACACCACCACAGTGCATTTCATAGAAACACAGTATCTCCAACTAACTTTGCATTGATTAGCAATCATATTGGATGTAAGCTCTTGTACTGCTACTACAAGGTGGTTGGTGCTATGTACTGTTGTGTTTTCCCACGAGCTCCTTTCTCATGCTTCACCAACAGAAGCATGGGCACTTGCCTACCTGGGGAAAACCATTTTGGGATTTCCTGCCCAAATAAAGAGTTTTGAAACTTCTGACTCCACTTTTGCAATTATTTCTGTTATTAGTTTGTCAGAAAAGTTTCCTACCTGGAAGCTCTTCTACAGGATCCTGCAAGACAGCAGCAGCAGGATCACTATAGACCTTGGCCAGATACTCTTGTACATCCCTGTTCCGTAGGATCTCAGTTCCAGAACCATCTGCTTTGATGATGAAGAACCTACACAGCCAGCCACAGACTGTATCAAGAAAATGGGACTCCCACATGATGATATCAAATGTGGAAACAGAGAGTACTGAACAAAGGAAGCACAAATTTATGAACGCTGCACAAATACAGAGTAGTGAAGGAAGTGTAAATCTAGGAATCCACTGCAGGTTACCTGGGGACATGCTCATCATAAATGATGGGTTTGTTAACTTCTTGGAGTGCTGCTGCTGAAGTTCTGTCCTCCTTGTCATTGGAGTCAATGCTAGGAACACACACATTTGTGCTGCCATCAGCCATGACCTATAATAGAAATTATATAAAATTACTTGAGTTATATGATATTTGCTTGTATCTTGCAGTCACTTGCAGATACTTGCAGTAACTTGCTGCTGAACTTTAATATGACCTAGCTAAGTGAAAGAGCCAGAAAAAACATATTTCATGCTGAACAACCTGAAAAAGAAATGAAAAAGAAAACTGAAAACACAGTGAAAAAGGCAAACCAAACACTTCTAGGAAGATGTGCCGTATCATAAACACTAAAATCACATGCTGACATTTAACAAGGCTCAAGGACTGTTAGTTGTCAAACAGGGCCATCCATGTTTACATTCCACATTCATCATACGTATCTGCAGGCATCAGCAGGCAACTTCACACAAAAATACTCACTTGCTGGTCAAGTCAGGTAACAGTATATTCAGCCACTGATGTATCTCTGTGAGGTATATATGTATCCATGTATATACAGCAACACACAGAGAGATATAAACAAATATATATGTAATTGTATATATGTCTATATGCTAATATATTAGTTAATGACCACACAGCACATACATATATAACTATACATAGATTTATATACAAATATAAATGTGTATATATAAATATGTGTATATACATACATACAGGCGTGGCTGTATATATAGGTATATAGGCAAATGTGAATAAATATGTATACACATCTGTATGCATGTGGATATATGAAGAGATATAGATGATATAGATACAGATTATATATTTGTATCTGTCTACCTATAGATATATATATATATATATTTATAGAGGGAGCCCTTTTCAGGCATTCATTCACTTTAAAAATATGGTCTCAGATTATCTTCCGATAATACTGAGTGAATTTCTACAGTATATTCCTTCTTGAAAATACTATGTGATTATTAACTAACATGTCATTAACATACAAATAAGGTAGCTAACAATGAATAATAACCTAACCAGGAATAATAATGCCTTTGGAAGATACAGTTTAAACCAGGGTGATTCAAAGGGCAGCCAATGAACTAACTGAATCTGACATACCCACCCCACACCTTTTTTACTGTAGTCTCAGGTGTGACTAGGACAGAGGAAAACTGACCCTACTACACCAATGCCTGGTTGCTATCTCTACCAAGCATGCAGAAGGTGAGAACTGGATAATAGCTGATTGTAACAGCAGGCAAGGCAGGATCCAAAAGCTGGATGCCTATCATATCTGTGCACAATGAGAAGCTTAGATCCATGAGCTGTTACACGTATTTTATCCACATGATTACCCTCTCCATCACATGAACACTTACCCAATGAAAATGGGGTCCTGAAAATAAAGTGGTGGGATGATGTAAATAAAATATACTCCATTAATGGCAAACCCAATGAAACTTGTTTTCCCTACAGTTGTTCTTCATGTCTGCATCCTCTCATACTGCATTAGATCTCATCTTTCTTACTACCACCCATATCCCCTATGATTACTGCTCCCATGATGCCTTCAACTGCTTCCACAGCCTCCTCAACCCCCTTCCTTTGTTCCTTAAGTATCAGCTGAGAAAAAGCAGGATGTGCTGATGCTGATGCCAAAGCAACTTCCATGCTGCTTTGAATTGCACTGATTTTATAGGAACTTGGTATCTTTGAAATTTCTATCCCTCTGGTTGATCAGTTCAAAATTTATTAGGGAGAGATTGACATATATCATAGATTATACAAGCACTGCTTCTTCAGCCAAGTTAAACACTGTTACAATGAGTATGTCCAGAGGAACCTTAGTGCTGTTTTACAGGAATATGGGAAACTGGTAATGATTACAGTTGCAGCAACAGAAAGGATACTCTAAGGATGTCACACCTAGAAGCTTTAATGAGAACCTTACTTAGAAAACAGTGTGCAGGTCACAGACACTTAGATTAAGTTCCTGGAACTCAAAACTAAGCACTAACCTAGCTCAAAAGTATCTCTTAGATGTGAAAGGATCACAGGACAAAGAGTATGACTTTAAAGACTGAATCATTCCTTTTACAACATTTGCCTTACCAGACAGATTAGGGTATTTCTATGGACTTTCTGAAAAGCAAATGTCTTCATTTGCAGAGCTGATTTTTTACTCTAATCCAAGTCATGCTAATTAAGGTTTGCTTACAGGTGAGGTGAACTGAAGACCATGTGTTTTATTTCAGTCTCTCTAAAAAGGGGAAAATCCCTAAAAAGGGGAAAATCCCAAAAAAGGGAAACCTATCACATACTCAAGAAAATTTCAGAGACCTGATTCAGAAGCTGATCCCTTCTGGCTAGCTAGGCTACTTTAAGTATTACAAGGCTTAAAGCTGACTATGAGAGATGTTTATGAGAAAAAATTACTTAAAATTACTTGTTCCCTTCCATTTATTTTACCTTGAAAATATTTCCTTCAGTATCCATCATTTCACAAACAGTGCTGGAAGTGTGTTTCATAGTGTATCTCCCTGGCTGTTTTTCTTCTTCCTTGCTGATGAAATTGACAACTTCATGGGTATAAACTGCTGAGCAATCTTCATCAATGAAAAGGGATCCTGTCTTCGTGGGTAAAACCTATGAGAGTGAAAAAGGGAAGAGGTTCAGTCCTGGAAGGTGAAATCTTCAGCCCAGAGGTACCATGAAAATGAAGAACAGATGTAAATCAAGAGGAGAGCTTTCAGACCTTCATCACCGAGTTATCCAGTTTTGAAGGACTGAAGGGAAAGAAGATAAGGTCCAGGAGGCAGGCTGATGTTAGTCTTTGTAATATTTTTCTTTGACTTAGGGAAATTTAAGATTGTGATTTAACTATACTATACAGTTGTGAGCAAGTATCTAAATATTGGCAGGATATGAAAGAGATAGAATCACAGGATTTGTGAAGGCTATAGAAAAGGGAGTTAAAACAGTCAAGGTCAGAGTTGCTGATGGCAGGGAACTTGTAACACAAAGATGAATATCATTGTCGCAAACTGAAAATAATTCCCACCTGATATGTTCCCTGTGGCTTTGCAATAAGACGTGTCCCATCTCCAAAGATGGTACAACAGGTACCATCCTCACAGTTTATTATAACAGTAGCGAACTCGGGATTCTCTACTTGCATATATTTCACCTTCTTCATGGTGGCTCCTGAGGGTTTATCTAAGAAATAATACAGAACAATGAGACACTGAAATTGTTAATGCTCGTAATACGAGCTCTAAGATGTAAAGAAATTCCTATTCAGCATCACAAATCTTGGAAAACAATCACATTGGTACGTTAATCTGGCCATTGCCTTCCTGTTGAATAAGCAGATCAGTTCGAGGTCAGTGTTTTGATTTTTGAAATCATAGAATGGTTTGGGTTGGAAAGGACCTTAAGATCATCCAGTTCCACACTCCTCCCATGGGCAGGGACACCTCACACTAGACCATCTTTCCCAAGGCTCTGTCCAACCTGGCCTTGAACACTGCCAGGGATGGGGCATTTACAACTTCTTCGGGCAACCCATTCCAGTGCCTCACCACCCTTACACTAAAGAACTTCTTCCTTATATCTAACCTGAACTTCTCCTTTTTCAGTTTAAACCCTTCACCCCTTGTGCTGTCACTGCAGTCCCTAATGAAGAGTCCCTCTCCAGCATCCTTCAGATACTGGAAGCTGCTCTGAGGTCTCCATGCAGATTCTCTTCTCCAGGCTGAACAGCCCCAACTTTCTCAGCCTGTCCTTATATGGGCTCTAGCCCCGATCATTCTCATGCCTTCCTCTGGACTTGCTCCAACAGTTCCACGTCCTTCTTATGCTGAGGACACTACAACTGCATGAGAGCAGAGTACAGGGCAGGATCACCTCCTTCAACCTGCTGGTCACACTTCTTTTATGCAGCCCAGGGTATGGCTGGCTTTCCAGGCTGTACAAATCCCACAGAGAGATGTTCCTGAACACTTCCTGTGAATATACTGCCAGCCAGAAGAAACACAAAAAAACATTAGCCCCAATTATTACAGGCAAACAGAAGTTCTACTTCAGATAAAACTCAAATCAGCTTGCTTGCTGAAAAGAGGGCAATGAACATACTAGAACTCCAGCACTGTGGTCTCATGGTGAAGGTGGGCCATGAAAGAAGGAAATTTGTTTGTTTGAAGCTATGTCATTTTTGCACTGAATACTGCTGACAAAAAGACCAAGCAGACAAACTAAACCTTGACTGCACTAGTGAATTGTTATTTAGGCTACTAGCATAAGCTTTCTTTAGTATATATTTTGACAATTATCTGCTTCACAAGACAGATCAAAGACAAGTGTTCTCCTATTGATTTTACCTGTTTCCTCACTATGCTTGGGTTCAAAAAGTTCTTCACAGTTTTTATATGATGTCATGATCCTAGTGCCGTCAGCATGATCTACTACTCTGCTTCCATCGAGCTTCTCAACAATTATCACTTCATCATCTCGTACAGTCATAACCTGAAAGAATGAAGGGATACTCATTTATTTAGCCCTGTGATAGTTGAAACAGCAACAAGAGTAATACAAGGCATCACGTAATAACATTCTGAAGAAGCTACTACTTTATCTACTTCAGAGACTGAGGAATCACATTTTCAACAAAATTTAAAGCCTCTGTATTAGTAACAGTGTAATAACACAACCTATAGCCTATGTGCTCAAAAACCAAAAACAACTTGTATGATGGCAGCCCTCTTAGCTTAGTAGACAGTGCTATAATAACACAAATATAGTAATACCGTTCCATCAGCTGGGTCAGTTGCCTGATAGATTAAGAGTGGTTTCAGATCCATTCTTTTTCCTTCCTCAGTGCCCACTTGAATGCCTGATGGAGTTGTTGTTATCCAGGTTCCTGCCTGTTTCACCTCACCTTGCTCAGAATTAACCACATCCTGTATAGTATTTTCAAACAACTCATCCTTGGCTGGGTGTAATTTGTTGGTTTTGTCATTGGCTTTCCCTGCTGAAACAAAAAATTTCTGTATCAGACTTGGTATTCTCTAAGGCAAAAGAAAAACAATGAAGTGCAAAGATTCTGTGAGTACTGGTTTTGACAGAGTTGAAAGAACAACTATGTATCAGGCTGGAAGGAAATTACAAGTCCTGTTATTCAAAGGTGTGCCCCTGAACTAACCTTATTTAATGTGTTCATTAATGACACAGAAAGAGTGAAGATGTCAGTGCTACTGACATCTGATTGTGACCTGACTTTGGACAGGAACTATTAATGCAGAAGGAAATCTTAATGGATTACAGAGAAAAAAAGCTTCCAAAAGTGTCCCATGAGCTTGAAGATAAAACTAAGAGGAATTTGATATAGCTTATTAAAACAATATTTAATGCAAAAAAGAATAAACATCTACTTTAGATATGTTTGCAACAGTAGAATAAAAGAAAGACCTGGAGGAATCATCCATACAGAATGATTATAAGTTATCAGTGTGAAAATATGCTAACAAAAAAAAGGCAAACACAATCTTGTGGTACATCAGAAGAAAACGAGGGGAGACTCCATTGTGAAAGGGAACTGGAGAGTATAGTGACCATATTAAGAATGTGATGGAGAACTCCAGTCTCCCATATTTTGAAATACGAAACTTAGATTAAGGGTATAGCGTTTACTATAAATTTGACAAGTGGAGGTTAAAAGTGTGTGGGGGAAAGCAATCATGATTAAAGGATATACACTGGCCACAGACAACGAGACTTAGAAGATGGTTCATCAGAGATGTTCTCAAACATCCAACCACTTACCCTAAGGAATATCCTAAGAACAAGGGCTGGATTTGATAACTCAGAAAGTCTCTTTCTGAGAGACCTTTCTCTTTGTCAGCAATTTTTATTCACATACTTCCAATAGATTCTAAGTTAGTATTATGATGGGTCATAATTATTCTGTGCACCGAGTAGCACTGATGGTGTTTTTGAACTACACTCTGAGGTATGAAGTAGACTTTTATTAGGTTCTTTCTCAGTCAAACAAAATAAGGTAAGAATGGTTATACTGGCACAGATAACAAGTCTATACAACCAACTGCTAAATTGCCTTATAATAGTAGTTGCCTTGAAATACAATGAGAAGGAAAAATACACTAAAAGTCCTCTGTGAAAAAGCATTTCTCAACACCAAGGCTAAAAAACTGTAACACTTAAGTAAGGATTAGACAAGATTGTAGTTACAAGGATTTCTTTTAAAAGGCTTTGTGTTGAATTGTTTTGGTACCAATGTACTTCTTACACAAACTTTTACTTATTAGAGTCCTAGCATGTTAAAAGAAAAATAAATCTAGATTAGAAGAAAAATTATTTGCTATGAAGGTATCAAATCAGCAGTGGAGTACAGATAGATTTGTACTAGCAGAATTTTCAGACTAAAGAAAGATGCCCTTTATTAAGTATCATCAGCCTTTCTAACTTTAAATCTATCCAAAACAATGGAATTATTACCTTTCTTAGTGCTGGTCTCAGGTAAAAGATCAGATTCTGGTAACAGTTGCATGACATCTGGAACAGCAGGTGCTGGGAGGACAGGGCCAGAATCAGGACTCCTACTCGCTGTGCCATCAGCAAACAGAATCTGCAGAAATCAAGGATATACTAGAGGTTAATATCACTGCAAACACCAACAGGAAGTCTCAAAAGAATCTGCTGCAAATGCAATAGCCACTGCAATATTATGGGTGTCAGAGGGGAAAAAAAGTAAAAACTCTCAAAATGAATACAAGAATAAAGAAGCTCCCTAAAAAAAAGAGAGGAGGGGAGAAGAGGGAGAGGGAGGGGAAGGGAGGGGAAGGGAATGGGAGAGGGCAGAGAAGAGGAATTAATCCCATTAATCATTGCCCAAAGGACTGCTAATTGCTGCAGTTCACGTATATAGTGTCTTACTTTTATAATGACAAATATAAAACCAAGTAGTAAAGATTATTCTTTGACTATTTAAGTGGTCAAAAGTTGACTTTTTTCTTTGTAGCAGTGGTAATGCATATGTATCACCATACTGATCTATATTCAGGTATTCCACATGTTTGGGATTACTGTTAACTTTTTAGCCATCAAGACAGCTAACAAAAAGAAGTCATAGTACTTTCTATTACAACTGTTTTCTGACATCTATTGTCCATTATACTCAAATCTTGATATGCATGCTCCTGTGTGGTAGACAAAGCCTAGAATTGCCCCAACTGCCTCTGAACTCATTTACAAATCAATATAGATGTTCTAGGGAGAAAGTACAATGTACAAAACAGACAACATAAAGAAACATCTCAAGAGTTACATTTACTGATCAGGAACGTAGTCCTCAAAACCATATTTAGGTATTTCCCAATCCCAAAGTTGCCTAAAACCTTCACATGCCTAAAATTTTCATCATTGGAATTCCCTATGTGCCTTAAGTTCTTATTCTGAACAAAGCCAAAAGCATGTCTTGACATGGCTGCATAACTCAGTGGTTACTTAAGTCCTTCACCTACAAACTGGTCAATTCTCTATCTCAGTCGACAAGCGCAAGTTTAAGGGTAATTGCATGCAGCCTGCTTTCAATTAATTCTATTAAACCTACCTGGGTAGATCCATCCATCAGGTACTTTATGACAGTTCCTTGACTGGTGATGACTCTTGACACCTCTTGTTCTGCTTGCCTTGCCACAGATGTATATAGATGAGAGTTCTTTACTTTTTGGGGATAACTCTGCCTAACCAGAATTTCCCAAGTGGTCTCCTTGTCCTGTTCTCTTTCAGTGTCTTCATGCTTTATTTCACCCTTTGTAACTTCATGTTCCTCCTCCTCTCCAGTATTCATAACCTCTCTCTCCTTTGCTTTGTTTGCCTCAGCCTCCTCTTCCTTGTCTTCATTTGCTTTGGCCCCCCTTTCCTTTACCACCTCTTTGTCAACTCCAGCTGCAGTGGCTTCACCTTTCAAAATGAAATCAAATTCTGAAATACTTAATACTGCACAGCACATTCAAACAGTGCTAAACACCCAGCATCATGGCTTCTACATAAATGATGCAACTTTAGGCAAGTAAGATTAACCCTCCTTGGCTTCCTCTCTAATCCACAGAGTAAGTGACAGACTGTGTGTTGGGTATATGAATGAGCACAATTATGGTAGGTGTGCCACAAGATGACATGGATGAGTCCGTATTTGCTGTTCACCTCATCTATTCAACATTTCAACTTATGCTCCTTGCCAAACTATGTACGCTTGAAAACCCTCTGCACCTTTTTACTTCATACCAGACTCATTAGAACATATTTATACTAAACTGGAAAAATCTGGCAAGCTGGCTGCATCTGTAGGAACTTTACTGGCGGAGACAGAAATGTGATCATCCCACTCTATCCAGCACTTGTCAAGCTGCACTTGAAGTACTGTGTCCAATTCTGGCCTCCACAATTCAAGAAAGATGCAGAGACTGGACGGGGTCCAAGAGAGGGCCACAGAGATGACAGAAGGGCTGGAGAACCCATCCTATGAGGAAAAGGTGAAGGAGTTGGGTCCCTTCTTCCTGGAGAAGGCTCAGACAGGACCTCTTCACAGTATTCTAGTACTTAAAGGGTAGCTACAAAGAGGATGGAGGCTCTCTCTTCATAAGGAGCCACACGGAGAAGACAAAGGACAAGGGGTACAAGTTGCACCAGGAGATGTCTCACCATGATATAAGAACAAAATTTTTCACAGTGAGAACAACAATTCCCTGGATCAATCTCCCTGGGGATGTGGTAGAGACCTCACTGCCATAGGTTTTCAAGATGCTACTGGACAGGGTGCTACATAATCTCATCTAGGCTCCCTTTTCTACAAGAAGTTGGACTAGATGATCTTCCAAGTTGAGCTGTTCTACGTTTCTATGATTTTGACATAAAAAGGGAAAAGATGTCTGAGAAGAAAAATGAGGGAAGATTTTATTAGCAGTTCAGATCAATGTGGCCCTCCAAATATAATCCAGACATTCCTCTCTCACACGATTATAAATTTGTGCTGGATCCTTGTGTACCATATTATATTTATGAATGCTATTTAATATAAATGTCTTATTTTTTGTTAATTTATAAGCACTGCTCTTACCGCTTGGCTGATTCTTAAGAGGTATGTTGTTTCATCAGTTGCCAGGAAGACAAATGACTCTGTCAAGTTTTATGCAACAGCTCACACATAGGATATTATAGGTAATAGGAATTACTACTGGCATCTACTTGGGGTGTGTGTGATAAATCTGTTTTATTCCTGGATATGGCTACCTCTGAAGTTGTGCTGATCTATTTTCACATAGTCAACATGTCCAATACAGCCTGGGCAGGACAGATTTGTATTAAAAGACATCTGGCATCCATTCATATATATATGTGTATATATATGCATTTATGAAATATGAATTGAATTTGTGTATTTTTCTATATTCCAATATACATGCAAATTCAACTGATTATTCGACATGACTCCCATGTGCTTTTTAGGATTGCTGTTTTTATGTGCAATAACTTGCAATTCTAGATTTCAATTTTGTTTGAATTGAAACATATTATTTATGTTGCAAATACCATTAAATAGACATTATGAGAGACTTAGCAATCCGAGACATTAAACTGGTCATACTATTACATCTAAACCCACCAAGGCAGAAACTATTTTCTTCTGTAATTTTAACTTGGTTTAAATTCCTTACTCTGCAGTGGCTCAGAATACTAACCTCCAGAACTTTCACCAAGGAAAGTTACTACTAGTCCATTGGGACAGGAGACGTTCAAACCTGAGAAAGCAGGAGCATCGGACGTCGCTTGTGCTGGAGAAACAGATTCTTCCACTTCTGTCTACAGAAACATGAATTAGTTTTATTCCTGTCACGGTTTAAGCCCAGTCAGTAACTTAGAGCCATGCAGCCACTTGCTCACTCCCCCCTTTCTTCCTCCCCTCCGGCTCCTGGAGGGATGGGGAGGAGAATCGAAAGAATGTAACTCCCGCAGGTTGAGATAGGAGCAATCCAGTAACTAAGATATAACACAAAACCACTGCTGCTACCACCAATAATAATAATAATGATGATAAGGGAAATAGCAAGGGAAGAGAATACAACCGCTCACCACCTGCCAACCAATACCCAGCCCAACCCCAGTAGCGATCTAGCCCTTCCAGGTAATTGCCCCCAGTTTATATACTGGGCATGACATGCTGTGGTATGGAATACCCCTTTGGCAAGTCTGGGTCAAGTGTCCTGTCTCTCCTTCCTCCTGGCTTCCCCTCCCCTCCCTGACAGAGCATGAGACTCAAAGTCCTTGGTCGGAATAAACATTACTTAGCAACAACTAAAAACATCAGTGTCACCAGCGCTGCTCCCAGGCTGAAAGTCAAAAACACAGCACTGCACTGGCTACTAAGAAGGAGAAAAATCACTGCTACTGCTGAACTGAGGACAATTCCATATTTTAAAAGAATGAAGAAAAAGAACAGACTACAGATTTCAGTTGTTACAAAATATTAAAGTGCTTTCCACCACTCATTTTTAACATTTTGAGAGTTTATGGCTTCTGAAGTGGAAACACTAGCTTATTTGCTTATTTGTGCTATCTTCTTTCATTCCTCTTCACTAACCCTTGAAGAGCAACCCTTACTAACTTTATTCATTTTGCTGAGTCACTGTGTTATCTTATGCACAGTGTTGAGATGACAATAAATGGATAATGTGAAGCAGAAGAGAAATAATTTTGAAGTTGCACATCCATTATTTTACCTATAATCATTAAAAGAGCACAAAAGGTAAGCAGAGCACTACTTCAGTCTGCTGCAAATACAGCACTGACTTGAGAAAGGAACAGAAAGGAATGTTTGGCAGTCAAAACATGGAATGCTCTTGGCATTACTCCATAGTGGAAACTTTTGGTGACTAGAAAAGATGAGGCTGACCTAAGGAACACATGAAGACCCTAGAACATACAATGGACCCTTTGATGCCATCCCCCTCAAAACCTATGACACTGCGCCAGTAGTCATCAGGTGAAAATGGTTCAGGGCTGCAGACAGAAGTAACAGAGAGAACTTGTCCTGGGATTACCCCATATTCTTCATTTTTAGGAATATAGGGAAAAATTGGCAGATGTTTTGCCACCTATCCTAAAAATTTCTAGGGCTGAAGCTCTCCCAGCAAACTATTCCAGTACTTTACCTTGGTTAACCTTATTGACATTTTCTTACAGATTAGCCTGAATCTCTCTTGCAGAAAATTAGTTTACTTCTGACAATTTCTTCTGATGACATGGGCTAGCAGAAGAAATGATGGTGTCCCTTTAGCTCTTTACAGGAGGCTATTCTTTCTACTCTTGATCAAACAAACCCAAACTAAGTCTTTTAATCTTTCTCTACCCATCAAGTTTTTCTAGACCTCTGCTTTTTCTTGGTGCTTTTCTGAAAACTCTTCAGTGTGGCTCATTCTTCTTGCAGTGCAATATCCGTAACTGGACACAATACCTCACCTGAAGCCCTACCAGCCCTGAATGGAAAATAACTTCATGTACTTAGCATGCTGTACTCCTGTTTATTCACCTCAATGTGGTCTTTGCCCTTCACACAGCAAGATGGCATTGTTGACTTAGGTACAGCTTGTGATCCCTTCCCACTCTCGGACCTGTTATTGATAGAGCTGTTACCCATTCTGTAGATATATTGAATTGCATCCTATTTTACAGACCATGTCCATGTGAATTTCTCTAGCTTGCTTTAGATTCTAATTCTGTCCTCCAAAATACTTGCACGATACTCACACAGAGGGTGCTGCATGCACTAATGATAGTCTCTGTCAAAGACATTCTAAACCAAATAGTAAAAAGCTTTTTGGAAGAAGAGGAGGAACTCAGATGTTCTCCAGACAGAATTCTTATGGCAGGGGTATTTGCTTGTATAGGGTTCATTTGTGCCACACAATTGCTGTATATTATGCTGAGTGCTGTTTGGCAACCCCCTGCTCACTTTCCATGCTCACGCTCTTTAAATACCTAAATAAACTTGTTGAAATTAGGCAAGCAGGTCTTTCTGTGGATATGGACAGAATATATGTTGAAACCTTACTTCATCCACTAGGTATCAAGGAAGTAGCGTAGGTACATCGTGTTTAGAGTCTTCCAAGTCTATTCTTACAACTCTCAGTTTGTATTCATTCTTATCTTATTACTCTCTCGTCTCATTTGCTTTGTAATGGAAGCTACCTCTTTTTTCTAATAAACCTGTACTGCCTTTAACCCTAGTTCAGGTTAGATACAAGGAAGAAGTTCTTTACTCTGAGGGTGGTGAGGCACTGGAACAGGTTGCCCAGAGAAGTGGTAAATGCTCCATCCCTGGCAGTGTTCAAGGCCAGGGTGGACAGAGTCTTGCATGAGATGGTATAGTGTGAGGCATCCCTGCCCATGGGAGGGGGTTGGAACGGGATGGTCTTAAGGTCCCTTCAACCCAAACCAGTCTGTGATTCTATCATTTACACATACAGTCATAAAAGCGAGCTGCCAATATGTATATCTGAGAACAACTGGATGAGTAAAACATATCCTTAGAAGCACCATAAATAATGGAATTTGTGAAGGGACAGTTCAAGTCCCTCTAAGAAGAATCTATGTTTCTGTTTTTTAAGTTTATGTATTTGATTTTTTGTCGTATCTTTTCTGTTTTTGTTGGATCATGTGTCATCTCTCACCTTTTCTTCTTCATGCTTCACCAGGTCCCCAGGAGGTGGAGGGCCTGTTTTGCTATTTGCTTTTGCAGATGGCTGAGATTTTCCTGATTTTTGTTTGATGGGCTTATCTTTTTTTCCTGAAGGTGAAGTAACAGGAGAAACTATGGTTGGAATATGAATAGAAGGGATGTTCAGAATTCTTGCTAAGACAGGATCCATTTCATCATCTAAGGAAGAGAAAGACGATATTTTTAATGCAAGTAAGTTTCATAAATATAGATGGCCACAGTTTATTTTTTAACAATATTTTGTACACTAAATTTTACCTTAGAAATAATAACCTCAGTGAGGGTGTTTATTATTTTAGATAGAGGGACTGACTATATTAAATTATTCATTATTCCATAGACTGACTACTTGTCAGCCTAAAAAACATCTTGAAATTACTGTGTCCCACAGGTCATCACTTGTCTCTCAAAAATAGAAGACAGCATCTAAGACTCTCTTTTACCTCCAGAATTCTAACACAGGTGGAGACATTCTGAGTCTAGTATCTAGGCAGCAGTCACTGATGTTATGCTTTATCATGGGCTGATTCAGAACAGACTGATTCCAGCAGTTTTGCACTACGTAGCTCTATTTTGCTATAGCCATTCAGAAAGATTCTGATGATGTAGACTTGGTAAGACTTTCCCAGTTCTTAAAAGGCAAAGCATAGGGCAGCCTGCTAAGCATGACCGGATGTAGCGATGTTGCTTTCCAAAATAGTTTCTTGAAAATGAAATGAATACAAAGGTATTCTGTAAAACATTTTTGTTTCAATGAGCCGACATTTCTCTTCCATCAAAGAACCCAGCCAGCTCTCACCTGCATGCTTTTCTGAAAGAACTTTTTTGAGTCATCTTTTCTTGCTTCAAGGCAACCTCAGTCCCAAACCAACAAATCACAAAATAGCACCTTGTCTCCCATCCACACAATCTGAACAATTGAATTCTTGTTTGTTTTGGAGAACATGTTACTGCAGATGGAGCAACTTATTACCCACATCTTAACCATACTTATACAGGTAAGAACTGGAAACAACAGTGAGAAAAACACAGTGATCTCAGAAACCACTTTTGAAAACCTTTTTAAAATAAGTAAAGCAAGCTTGATTCGAATAGTAGTTGCTGTGAACTATGAAGTTTAACAAGTCAGTCATTTTAACAATGTCCTTAAGACGACTTCCAAAAACACTTGGTTTTGTTTGTTTTGGTAAAATTACATTTTAATTCTGCTTCTTCCCATGAACAGTATTATTTAATATGAAAAGTGTTGCATCAGGCAGGGAAAAGTTAAATAACTCATTGACAAATTGCCATCCAGATCTCACATTCAGGCAAAGAAGGAAAGAAATGCATCTGGAAGCACGACAATGGAACCATTCTGGTGTGACATAATAGCATTTTCTCGAATGTAGATGAAGTGTTAGTATATTTTTGGCTAAAAAACTTAGAAGGTAGGCCTGAGTGCTACTATGTCTAGTGTTTCCAGAAAGGTTTTGACATAGATGGTTTTAGCTCTGCACATTTTCCTTATGGATGATTCTACATTTCTGGCAACTGAAAAAAGTGACCCAAAACCTAAGATTCTAAGGCTAGAAGAAACTATTATCATCTGGTGATAAACTCCTATTTTTGACTTGGATAACAAGCCTTCCACCTCAGTATTTAAGCCTTCAATCTCAGTATTTGTCTAGGTGCCAGCATTAGGGAAACACAGAGATATCTGAATATATCCATGACCTTTAGTGTGAAAGGGAAATTTACATCACCACAAAGATTTTTGAAATCCCCATTTTCATTAGCTCGTGCGTGAGCGTCTGGTGCTTTGTTAGGTGACTCTGCTTTCCTGTACTGAAATTATGCTGTGTGGCTTTTATGGCTTATTGGAAGTCTGAGGAAAGGAGAACAAATCTGTTTCTTTAGTAATAATCTAGAGATAAAGTCTCAGCTAATTGTATAAAATAGGAAAGTTTAAAATTATCCATGGAGTCTGTTCTGATACATGTGCATTTTGAGACAGCATGGCCATGCAAGAAACAAGCAGTAGTACCCATCTCCAGGTGAATGGTGGGAAGAATCAGCTAATAAGTTATTTTTTAGTCATTAGTTTGTAAAATGCATTTTAAGAATTAAAACTGAGTGTACAGTTGAATGGTTTGCCACAGCCCACACAAAGATGCAGCCAACTAAATGTTTTCAGATTTTAAGAGCTGAAAAAAGCTGGGATTATTTTCTAATCAGAGGAAAGTTTCATTTTTATCCTTACGATGGTTTCAGTAGTCTTTCAAATATAATGGAAACAAAAAGCTCTTGGTAAAAGAAGATGCTATTTTCACTGTGGTTTTGTGAAGCAATTGCTTCCAGTTGGTGAATGTGTTTATTGAAGAGCTGAAAGAAATCCCTCCTTATGTCTGCACAACTGTAACCTAATGTCTAACTCCTCATGTCAAATGAAAGTTCCATAATCACCTCTGTAACTTTACAAAAATATTATTTCTTGGAAAACCAAGGAGACACCTCGCCAATTCACATTTGCTTTGGCTCAAATGAATTGGCTGATTTTGCTGGGCTACTTAATAACAATACTTGCAACTTTCTCCCTGCACTGCTCTGTTTTCACAGGAAGCAAAAAATCATTGAGACCTCTCTCTGTTTTGAAATTCAAATCACAGAATATTCTTGACAATGTCATCTCATCTTGAGCCTTGCTAAAAACTCCCCACCATGTAGTAACAGCTGCTGAGAAAGGCACAATTGCATGCGACAAATTATTGGGGTAAGGAAGGAGTGGATGAAGAAAAAAAAATTAAGCAAATAAAAAGAAAAGATTTCCCTCTATGGTTCTCAAATATCCACTTTTATTTGCTTACTTTACCTGCTGTCTTCCCTGTAGGTCCGTAATAGCTCAGGGACAGCTGGATTCCATTTTCCAAGGTGGCTGAAAAAGATCCAAACTTGCTCACAGCTTGCTTCTGATTTTTCAATTTTCCTTTTAAAGAAAAATTGAAATTAATTTTATAGATAGCAACACATACCAGAACCACCTGACCTGCAAACCAGTGACTGGTGTGGACTGGTGTGAACAGGGGCACCTCCATGTGGATGATTAGCCCGTACAATAGCCTAATGTAGGATGGGAAAGCTTTATGTTTATATATATACACACACACACATATATATATGTGTGTGTGTGTATGTCTATATAATATAGAGTAGTATATAAGTCAGTTTTGTGTAATACAACCGTGACCTTCCATCTAGAAATTGCAGTTTAATTAGCTAGGGATTTCCAATATGGGGAACAGCTTCTTAAAACTGTGAGGAGCAGCAGAGAAGCCTACAAAAGAAAGTTAAGGAAGGTACTCAACACTTAGCCATCCCCAAGGTCTTTCATCAACAAGACACACGTTTAGACCTTGCCTGCTCCTACTTACTGTCTGTCATTGCAATATTCATTGGTGACTTCACCTGTGGAATGCTGTATTGGTATTTTGACTGCATTAAAAACCTACCATGTCACCATTCAGCCACTGCCAAGTACCACAGTGGATTGATTCTTCTCTGCCCTACTGCCTTTCTATGAGGTACTTCTGTTTACAGAGGAGGAAAGCCTCCCACTCATGGCAAGGGAATACAACTTGCCTCATATGCTAGCACACTGGTGACTGGAAGTACCATTTGGCATTCCCCAGAATGATACAGGTCTACTTTCAGAAAGGCAGACATGAAACATCCCACCTGTGGAAGGGATGCAAATTTTCTATTCAGATGACCTGTAATTACATCACTGGTGGTAGCTGAAGCCAATGAGAGGAGCAAGAACAGGATACTCTCTAACACTGTTGAAGATTGAACACCTACTGAAAGTTATACTTTTCCAATACTCTTCAGTGCAGTGAAAGCAATTCCATAGTGCTTTTGGCAAATATATAAGTTGTTACAGACTTGCCTCCTTCTTGGAAACACCTGGTTTCAGAAAGGATTTGGATTCAATGCTTTTGGAGCTTTAGCAAAATATGAACCAGCAGCAGAAGCTGCTGAACTGCAGAAAGATCTGTTTCCACAGCACAGGTCTTCAGGAGGCACTAATGCTATGCTCATCTGACCCACAAAAGGAGGTCATGTTCAAAGAGGGAAGTCTTCCCTTTAAAGGGCAGACATTTATTTTGGTCACAAAGGACATGATTCAGTTTGCATCTTCTTAGGCTTTCCCAGGCCATATTAAGATCTGAAGGAGACTTCCACTAAAGAAGAAAACTCTTTTCTAAAGGAATGGTGACTCTTTTCATTGATTTCCTTGCTTTGTAAAAGAGGCTGGTTTGTGCCTATTGACGTACTGTGCTTCTTTTCTTGGCAAGATCCCTCTACATGGCGCTTAATTCAGCCAACTGGATTTCTACTTCTATTTACACAATCCTGATCTTATTTACCCTCTGCCATTAGTAGGAATTTATTTTCTATTAGTTGATAAGGTTTGCATCCAATTACAAAATATGTCAGACTATTAAATTCTTTGTATCAATAATGCCAATCCACTAACCTGATCTCATTTTCTGTTCTTCATTAATTTCTTGCATTTCGATTTCTTTTAAGTCTTTCTTGGGATCTGTGATATGAATGAAGAAACTGTGGTTGTCTTTCATCACTCTCACCTTTACCAAGGTTAGACCTGCAAAGCAACAGAATCCTGTTATCGCTCCCACCAGGCTTCAGAACAGCCCTGCACCTGCAACTCTAAAGCACACAAAGAAAAATAATTGCTCAGAAGTGGACTGCATTGCCCAGCAGCAGACCAAGAAGACAAAATAAATGTTAACGCTGAGCTTAGCCTAAAAATTCAAAAGCTTCCTGACAATTAGATCTGAGAGACAGCAGAACAACCCTCTTGCTTAGGTACACTGCATTTGACTGGACAAATTATTGGAACATGCATTCTTGAAATATCATGCATTGGCTGCCACTGAACAGACCAATACAAACTGATTTTTTTTTCTCCATTTCCAATTTTCTGATACTTTATTTATCTATCAGTTGCTAAGATACTACAAAAAAACGTAAACACTAGTAGTGATGAGAGGCTGAAATGGAATTACTGGTACCCTCACAATGTCTTTACTGAATTTCTACTACTGGGACATGAAAAAGCTTTTATGGATTAAGAAACTATACCATCAGTCAGTAACTGAGTCAAAGCAAAGCATAAAGAATTAACAAGTCACCTTTTACAAACTCTATCTTCTCTACTTGAATCTGTCCTCCATCAGATGGGAAAAGATACTGAGTGGTCCCTGATACTTGAATGACATCTTCCCCCATATTGTAGCCAAGAAACTGGAAAACCAAGTTTTCAATTATGCGTAAATGAGAAAGGCAGAAACCATGAAAGAGGTAAATGAAGGTCAGATCATCAGGATCCCGCTGTTCTGATTAACATTTTTTTGCTTAGATATTTAACTAATGTAATAATGACTTTAGCAAATATATAGCATGCTATTCTCATACCCAAACACTTTCTCAGTTACTAGATGAAGTAACTTGTTCCACATGAGAGCAGAATTTGGTCCTTCAGTGGTATGGTGCCTTCATGGAAGCTGAAGACTAGCAAGTAGTCTGTTGGCTAACACATAATAGAAAGGAAAGCAAAATTCTGGCTAAGTACAAAGAGACAAAGTACAATAGGATCAGATAAAGGGCAGATAAAGATTCAACTTTCCACCTTCTAGATCTGGGAATTCAGACACTGTAAATCTGATCCTGAGATTGATGTGCCTTCTAAAGAGCCACAAATTGGCAAAAATTAGGGGAGTGTACCCAAGTTCAGATTGAAATATTATGTACCTCTGAGTCTGAAGTTAAGACTAAAACATAGTGACACACATAAGTATTGGATGCAAGGCGTAGACTCTGCAATTAAAAAGCAGTGCAAACAGCTTAAAACCTGGACAAAACTAGTGAAGAGCTCCCTCTGTAAAAAATACGCCTCTGCTAGTATAGCAGGTGGAATACTTTGTATTAGGTCACTCCAAGAATGAATTTTGAAACAGGAAATGGAAGAAACAGTTAACCCCTCCTCCTTGACTTCCAATATGAACAGCCAAAACTTCAACTAAGTCTATCAGTCTCCGAAGAATATGGGTGTTAGAACAGGACTTTATGCTCCCCCTTCTCACCCGCTCCCATGGAAGTCACATTTTTAGGCAAAATTCATCCCATACATATATTTTCCATGGGCCCATAAACATGATCAACTTTTCTCTGTGTTCGTATCATATACACTAAAACCCATGAAAGTTAATTAAATAATCTTGTGTAGTATAATCTTGAGCATCGGAAACTGCTTTCCAAAAATTTTAGGAAAGGAGCTGCTGCAACAATGGAGTTAAACAAGATCTAGAAGGCTTAATTTGCCCTGAACTCCAATGTCCCAATGGATAATAGCTTTGCTGTAATCTTGACTATATATATAAATAGTTAGCAATTTCCTAACATAGTGCACTCCTTACCTTATAAACTTTCTCAGAATGTGGTTCTGGGATGCTGGGATCCTCCTTAGCCTTTGCTGACTCTTCTTTAAACTTCTCTTGCAAAAACTTCTTGTTGGAACCTTTACTTTCTTCATGTATTATCTCCTGCCCTTTCTTTTTACCTCCCAGAGTTTCTTTTCTTCTTTTCTTTTCATCCGTAAGTTGTTCTTGCTCTCGTAATTGCTCCTGCTCCTGTTTCCAAGCCTACATTAAACATTAGGAATTCCAAAGACTGTGGTCCTCCTTGTATTACAAGATACTTCATATGTGCATGCTGAAAGTACAAGTATGCAAACTCAGAGGAATCAAAGTTCAGAGTCACCCTAAGACATGCCTTCCAAACATGTTGAAAGGTTTACAATAATACCCACTATATTGTGGCCTACAAGGATGCTGGAGAGGGACTCTTCGTCAGGGACTGTTGTGATAGGACAAGGGGTGATGGGTTCAAACTGAAACAGGGGAAGTTCAGGTTAGATGAAGAAGTTCTTTAACTGTGAGGATTGTGAGGCACTAGAACCCATTGCCCAGAGAAGTGGTAAATGCTCCATCCTTGGCAGTGTTCAAGGCCAGGCTGGACAGAGCCTTGGGTGACATGGTCTAGTGCGAGGTGTATCTGTCCATAGGAGGGGATTGGAACTTGAGGATCTTAAGGTCCTTTCCAATCCAAACCATTCTATGATTTTGCATAAAATTACTGACTCATTCAATACATGGGATCAGGTCTCCTGTGGTGAAGAATAACTATCAGATGATTATTAGTATTTTATGCATTCAGTCACAAAAGAATTACTTTGTTGTGCACTTTTCCACAATGTTCATCACAGAATCAGAATGCATTACTGGTATTAGCTTATTCCCAAAATGCAACTGAGACAAAATGATCTTATTCTTTTACATAAAGAATGAGGTATCAATGCCAGAATTATCAACTCGTACCAGGAATATCTGAGATTTTTCAGAGTATTTAGGGATTTGCAATATTTTTTATTCTAAGCATACCATAGCACAAACCATTTCTGTGGAAGAAATGGTAAGCATTCACAGTTATATGTTAGGCATTAGTCTAACTTTGTCGTGGTTTAAACCCAGTCAGGTAACTTGTTCACTCACTCCCAGTGAGTGGTGCCAAGCTGACAACAATCAAGGTCCGTGTTCGTCTCCCCCCCCCCTCCCTGCACCGGGGCTCTCCCCTTCCCCGCTCCCGGAGGAACGGGGAGGAGGATCGAGAGAGTGCAACTCCTCCGGGTTGAGACAAGAACAGTCCAGCAACAAATCACCACCGCTACTATCAGCTAAAACAATGATAAGGGAAAATAACAAGGGAAGAGAATACGATACCACCGGCCAAGAAAACGAGTTCCACCCGGAAGCCCCTGTCCTTCCGGGCAACTCCCAGTTACCCCCCACCCCGGGCATGACGTGCTGTGGTATGGAATACCTCCCCGGCTAGCCCGGGTCAGGCGCCCCGTCTCTGCTTCCTCACAGCTTCCCCTCCTCCCTGGCAGAGCATGAGCCTCACAAAGTCCTTGGTCAGGGTAAACATCACTTAGCAACAACCGAAAACATCGGCTTCACCAACGCTGTTCTCAAAACTAGAAGTCAAAACACAGCACTGCACCAGTTAACACAAAGGAAAAAACATGACTGCTACTGCTGAACCCAGGACATTATCCACCCCTTATTCCATACCATTCACGTCGTGCTCAGATCCCACATTTTCAATACACCATCGCTCTCCCACATATATACATCCATATACATACAGACCAAGAGGAAAAAAAATCATTTTCTTAGTGCATGGACCAATCCCTATAATGCTGCCGAGTCCATTCGGTCCATGATGTTCCAAGTTCATTCTCTGTTGGGATGATGGCTGGAGGGAAGTCAGGGCCAGTCGCTGGTGACCTGGAGACATCTAGTTGATGGGCTATAAAAGCATTACACAGCAGGCAACAGCATACAATTGAGTTCACTGGCTGTTTTCCCCTAATATCAAATCCCCTTGAGGTATACATCGGACTTCCCCATCTTCCCGCATTACCCACCAAGTATATCCAGGTCCCTGAGCAAAAGCAATCCCACGAGTGGGTTTGCCTTTACCTGAAGCAGGAATAACCCAGACTGTCTTCCCCAGCAAATTCTTCATATGCACCACGGGAACTCTGTCCCCCTCTACAATATGTAAAAGTTCTGACTGGGCTGGGCCAGCCCTGTTGGCAGATCCTCTGGTGTTGACCAACCAGGTGGCCTTTGGTAAATGTGTATCCCAATGCTTGAAAGTTCCCCCACCCATCGCTCTCAGTGTAGTTTTTAACAGCCCATTGTACCGTTCGATTTTCCCAGAGGCTGGTGCATGGTAGGGGATGTGATATACCCACTCAATGCCATGCTCTTTGGCCCAAATATCTATAAGGTTATTCCGGAAATGAGTCCCATTGTCTGACTCAATTCTCTTTGGGGTGCCGTGTCGCCACAAAATCTGTTTCTCAAGGCCCAGGATGGTGTTCCGGGCAGTGGCATGGGGCACAGCGTATGTTTCCAGCCACCCGGTGGTTGCTTCCACCATGGTAAGCACATGGCGCTTGCCTTGGCGGGTTGGTGGCAGTGTGATATAGTCAATCTGCCAGGCCTCCCCATATTTATACTTCAACCATCGTCCTCCATACCAAAGAGGCTTTAACCGCTTGGCTTGTTTAATTGCAGCACATGTTTCACACTCATGAATAACCTGGGCAATAGTGTCCATTGTTAAGTCCACCCCTCGGTCACGGGCCCATCTATATGTTGCATCTCTGCCCTGATGGCCTGAAGTGTCATGGGCCCACCGGGCCAAAAATAATTCACCTTTATGTTGCCAATCTAAGTCCATCTGAGCCACTTCAATCTTAGCCGCTTTATCCACTTGTTGGTTGTTCTGGTGTTCCTCAGTGGCCCGACTCTTGGGTACATGGGCATCTACATGACGTACCTTCACCACCAGATTCTGCACCCGGGCAGCAATATCTTTCCACAGTGCAGCAGCCCAGATGGGTTTACCTCTGCGTTGCCAGTTGCTCTGCTTCCATTGCTTCAACCACCCCCACAGGGCATTTGCCACCATCCATGAGTCAGTATAGAGATAAAGTACTGGCCACTTTTCTCGTTCAGCAATGTCCAGGGCCAGCTGGATGGCTTTCACCTCGGCAAATTGACTCGATTCACCCTCTCCTTCAGCAGTTTCTGCAACTTGTCGTCCAGGACTCCATACAGCTGCCTTCCATCTCCGATGCTTTCCCACAATACGGCAAGAGCCATCAGTAAACAAGGCATACTGCTTTTCACTTTCTGACAGTTTATTATATGGTGGGGCCTCTTCAGCACGCACCACCTCCTCCTCTGGTGACATTCCGAAATCTTTGCCCTCTGGCCAGTCCATGATGACTTCTAGAATGCCTGGACGACTGGGATTTCCTATTCGAGTTCGTTGTGTAATTAGTGCAGCCCATTTACTCCATGTAGCATCAGTTGCATGATGTGTAGAGGAGACCCTGCCTTTGAACATCCAGCCCAGCACGGGCAGCCGGGGTGCCAGGAGGAGCTGTGCTTCAGTGCCAATCACTTCCGAAGCAGCTCGAACCCCTTCATAGGCTGCCAGTATCTCTTTCTCAGTTGGGGTATAGCTGGCCTCAGATCCTTTGTATCCCCGACTCCAAAAGCCGAGGGGTCGACCTCGAGTCTCCCCTGGAGCTTTCTGCCAGAGGCTCCAGGTAGGACCGTTCTCCCCAGCTGCAGTGTACAGCACATTTTTTACATCTGGTCCGGTTCGGACTGGTCCAAGGGCTACTGCATGAACTATCTCGCGTTTAATTTGCTCAAAGGCTTGTTGCTGCTCAGGGCCCCATTTAAAATCATTCTTCTTCCGGGTCACATGATAGAGAGGGCTTACAATCGAACTGTAATTTGGGATGTGCATTCTCCAGAACCCCACTGCACCCAAGAAAGCTTGCGTTTCTTTCTTATTAGTTGGTGGAGACATTGCTGTTATCTTGTTGATCACATCTGTGGGGATCTGTCTACGTCCATCTTGCCATTTTATTCCCAAAAATTGAATCTCCTGTGCAGGTCCCTTGACCTTACTCCGTTTTATGGCAAAACCGGCTTTCAGCAGGATTTGGATTATTTTCCTCCCTTTCTCAAAGACTTCTTCCGCTGTATCGCCCCACACAATAATGTCATCAATGTATTGCAGGTGTTCTGGAGCTTGCCCCTGTTCCAGTGCAGTCTGGATCAGTCCATGGCAAATGGTAGGGCTGTGTTTCCACCCCTGGGGCAGTCGGTTCCAAGTGAACTGGACACCCCTCCAAGTAAAAGCAAACTGGGGCCTGCACTCTGCTGCCAAAGGAATGGAGAAAAATGCATTGGCAATATCAATCGTGGCATACCACTTGGCTGCTTTTGACTCTAGTTCATACTGAAGTTCTAGCATGTCCGGTACGGCAGCACTCAATGGTGGTGTGACTTCATTCAGGCCACGATAGTCTACTGTTAGTCTCCATTCTCCATTAGACTTTCGCACTGGCCATATGGGGCTATTGAAGGGTGAGCAGGTCCTGCTGATCACCCCCTGACTCTCCAGTCTACGGATCAGCTGATGGATGGGAATCAGGGAGTCTCGGTTGGTGCGATATTGCCGCCGGTGCACTGTTGTGGTCGCAATTGGCACTTGTTGTTCTTCAACTTTCAGCAACCCCACAGCAGAGGGATCTTCTGAGAGACCAGGCAAGGTGGACAGCTGCTCAATTTCTTCAGTCTCCAAAGCAGCAATACCAAAAGCCCACCGGTACCCTTTTGGGTCTTTGAAGTACCCTCTCTTGAGGTAGTCTATGCCGAGGATGCATGGAGCCTCTGGACCAGTCACAATAGGGTGCTTTTGCCACTCCCTCCCAGTCAGGCTGATTTCAGCCTCCAGCACAGTCAACTCTTGGGATCCTCCTGTTACTCCAGAAATATAGATGGGTTCCACCCCTTGACAGCTTGATGGCATCAGGGTACACTGTGCACCGGTATCTACTAGAGCCTTATACTTCTGTGGGACTGATGTGCCAGGCCATCTGATCCACACAGTCCAGTAAATCCGATTGTCCCCTACCTCCACCTGGCTGGAGGCAGGGCCCCTCTAATGGTCGTCACAGCATTGGACACTTAAGTCGTGTTGAAAGGGATTATTCTTCGTTATCACAGGAGCTGGAGTAAAATCAGCTCTTCCACTCCATCTGGGAAACTGCTCACCAGAGACTGAAGCCGTAGCTCTCATGGGACGATCAGTCTTGGCCCTTGCTCCCCTCTTCAGTTCACTCACCCGTTCCTCCAAAGCTGAAGTAGGTTTTCCATCCCACTTTGTCATGTCTTCTCCGTGATCCAGCAGGTAAAACCATAGGGTACCCCGTGGCGTATACCTTCTGTATCTCCTCTCTTGAACAATAGGACGTCTTTTGTTAATAGCTGAGACGCGTGTTGGTACACGTGAGGAGCTGGATAAATCAGATACATCGTCCCTCAATTTGTCGAGGTCCTGGGACAGTTTTTTCACAGCTGAGATGATGGAAGGAGTGAGATTGTCTTCGAACTCTCGGAGTTTATGAACCATTTCATCCACTGTTAGTGGTACTATGTCATTCCAGGTCACTGTTGCCAATGAATGGGCATATGATGACGGTGCATTCCGTGTAAGTTTTCGCCACATGGGTCGTGTACATTCAACTTCATCTGGATCTATAGGTGTATCCCCGTTATTCGGCTTGATGTGATAGATCATCTCTACGATGGCCGATTCCCTCAGAGACTGGATGCCTTTGTCTATAGTAGTCCACTTGGCCGAACGACTCGTAACATCGTCCTTGTACGGAAACCTTTCTTTCACAGCTGCCAAGAGCCTCCTCCAAAGGCTGAGGGACTTTTTCTCTCTTGCAATTGCTTTGTCAATTCCCCCTTCTCTAGCAAGTGATCCCAGCTGCTTGGCTTCTGTACCTTCTAGTTCGTGACCATCGGCCCCATTGTCCCAGCATCGGAGTAACCAGGTGATGATGTGCTCCCCTGGTTGACGGGTAAAATCTTTTCGCATATTCCGCAGCTCGGTTGAGGTCCGAGGTCGAGAAGTTACTTCTTCTTCTTCTTCGTCATGTGAGGATGACTCCTGATCAGATTCTGGACCGGGTGGTGAATTCATTGGTTCTTCATCTCGCTTCACCCTTTTTGCCTCCTTTTTGCTTGTTCTCTTGCGTACAGGGGCAACTGATATTGGTACGAATTGGTCCTCTGGTTTGGCTGCAGTGATTATCACTGTGGTTTGAGTAGCGACTGTACTTGTTGCTGGGGGTGGTGTAGCTACCGTGCTTGGAGCTGGGGTAACCGCGCTGTCTGTTGTAGTTGAAGTTTGAGCAGCTGCTGTACTTGCCACTGGGGTAGCTGCGCAGTTCATTGCAGCCAAAGTTTGAGTAGCGACTGTCACTTTGCCCTCAAATCCGCCGACATTCTTTTCCTTTTGAAGGTGCTGAATAGTGTTGAACAAGGCCCTGTAAGCATAGGCCAAGCCCCAGCACGTTGCCGTGATTTGTCCATCTCTGGTATGGCCAGAATGACCACACACCTCATTTAAGTGTTTTACTAATTCTTCTGGATTTTGCAGTTGTTCGGTAGTGAAATTCCAAAATACTGGAGGGGCCCACTGACCTAGATACTTGCCCATACTATCCCACACACCCTGCCACTCATGGCTGTCCAGCCTCTGGGAAAATCTCTCGGTCCTCCTACATCGTCGTTTGACCCCAGACAAGACCCAAACCTGAATCTGCTTAACTCTTGAAATCAGTAGTGGGCAAAACACACTCTGTATGCGTGTTAGCATGGTGATTCCCATCACCATCAGCAAACAAGTCTCAAGAGCATTAAAAGGCCATTTAAAAAATTCAAAACTCTCAAATGTAAATGGTCTGGGGGGACGACTAGGAGGGTAAAAGGATGTCTCCTTCACAGGTTGAGCACCTGAGAAGGAGAAAAAAGATGTGTAATTGCTAAGCACCTCCATCATATACCTCCCAAAGTATAAAGGTGGTGACCACACTGGGAACATAAACCAGATCAGTTTCATGATCAATGATTCTATTGTATTACAAGTCATTACCATAAAGTACAATGGGATAAAAACCTTAGCCCAAGCCCCACACTTGAAAAACACTAATACAGCCAATACCGGATGGACGTAAGATATGGTATACTGAAACTGTGAGATCAAGAGGAAAAACCTTGAGAGCCAATAAATCAGCATTGTGACGAGTGACTATCAATCCAGTCAGATCTGTTCTTATCTCAACCCCTCGAGCCCCACGTTGGGCGCCAAAAAGAACTGTCGTGGTTTAAACCCAGTCAGGTAACTTGTTCACTCACTCCCAGTGAGTGGTGCCAAGCTGACAACAATCAAGGTCCGTGTTCGTCTCCCCCCCCCCTCCCTGCACCGGGGCTCTCCCCTTCCCCGCTCCCGGAGGAACGGGGAGGAGGATCGAGAGAGTGCAACTCCTCCGGGTTGAGACAAGAACAGTCCAGCAACAAATCACCACCGCTACTATCAGCTAAAACAATGATAAGGGAAAATAACAAGGGAAGAGAATACGATACCACCGGCCAAGAAAACGAGTTCCACCCGGAAGCCCCTGTCCTTCCGGGCAACTCCCAGTTACCCCCCACCCCGGGCATGACGTGCTGTGGTATGGAATACCTCCCCGGCCAGCCCGGGTCAGGCGCCCCGTCTCTGCTTCCTCACAGCTTCCCCTCCTCCCTGGCAGAGCATGAGCCTCACAAAGTCCTTGGTCAGGGTAAACATCACTTAGCAACAACCGAAAACATCGGCTTCACCAACGCTGTTCTCAAAACTAGAAGTCAAAACACAGCACTGCACCAGTTAACACAAAGGAAAAAAACATGACTGCTACTGCTGAACCCAGGACAAACTTGCACCATTACAGTTCAAGCTGAGTACCCAGGAACTGGTTAATATCATTTCACATCTACATTCCAATATCAGTACTTTAAGTGCAGAGAATTACACACTATGAGAAAGATAAGACATGCTATGTCTGTGAAAACTCAAAAAAATGAAGTACAGAATAAGGGAGCACAACATTAATTGATCTAGATTTTTGCCAGTTAATGGATAGTGCCAAGGATGAGTTGAAAAATGTGTGTTTAACTCCTACCTCAGCCAGAAACTGACTGTGTTGACCTAGGTAAGTCAAAAATCTGTAGCCTATGACCATGGACTACATCTATAAAACGTGATTCTCTGCCAGAAGGGAACTCTGAGGTCATACTTACATTCCTTAATTTCAAAGAGCTCTAGAAAGCAAAAGTAGAAATCGGGCACGTAAGAACTTTTATGAATCTGGATCTATGTTTCCATAGCTTTATAACCAGAAACCTCCAACAAGACGTAGGATATTATCCGTGACTCTCATTTCCCAATATTGCAATTATGAATTGCCTTCTGAAACTATAGTCTAACTTCAAACAGCCTTCTCTTCAGAAAATAATATAACTGAATCAATAAGGAATAAACTAAAGAAAACAAGTATACAAAACATAGCCAAGAGCAGAAAAACTAAGAGGAGTCAAGCCTATGCAAGAATGAAGGCTTACGTTCCTAAGAAAGAAGTGTTATTTAGTCCGTTTCAGAAACATACTTATTTTTGCCTCACCTTTAGAGAATCTTCTCTGATAAAAGGACTTCTTTCATTGTTGGACTGAAATTCTGGAATGGTCCTCATTATACCCTCAAGTATTGATGCGTTGCCTTTGAGAAATGAAAGGGGAATAAATGAGGTTACAAAAATAGGAAAATTGAATAATTTTTAAAAATGGAAAAATAAAAAGGAAGTGCAAGTAAATTATATTAAAATGATATATATTTGAAAATAGTAAAAGCATAAAAGTAGAATAAGGGTTTTTATTTTTTTTAAAATGAAATAAAAAGCCTGTTCAGGTTAGAAGAAGCTTCTCTCACAACTAGTATTACTAGATAGTCACAACTGGTGTCCAGATTTGCTAAACAATATATCAACATGTTTAAAGACTGACTCTCTGCTTCTTGCTGTTGAAAGCTTTGCTCCTGAAACAAGTTTGTGGTTTTTTAGTAGAGAAGCAATGTGCAATAAACAGGAAGCTATATTTATTATTTGTGCTGCTATCATTGTTTCAGAATCCAGATCCAGGGCTTCAACCAGCTCACCCTGAACAAGCTCAATACTGGAGTCAGACAAAATAATAAGTGAACAAATGCTTCCTGAACCTTCAAATCTTAACTAAAGAAACACCATATCCCCTGTTTACTATTAGGTCTTTATAGCACCTTGACTTATGAAAAGGGTATCTTTCTAGGTGTGTGGTTTTTCTATCATGCCTGGAAACCCAATATTTACCCGCTAGAAAAGATGAAGTATGCTACCAGAAACTTGTAGTTAAATTACTTTGTATTACAAAGTAGAAATTGCAGTGTGGGTTACAGGAGAGTCAGTGTTCTTGAAATCACTTAAAGACATTCTTGCCCATCTGCATGTCCCACCTAGAAGTTTACTTCTTTCAGGAAGTGAACTTCTCTATGAATCATATGTTTCAGGAGGCATCAGGTGGGCGAGATTCATTCTAGCTCCTGTGAGAAATTGATAGATATGATTTAGAACTCACAACTGTAGTTTCTGTTTCCAAACTGTAATCTGATGTGTTAACTGGGTTGAGGAATAGCATTCCCATTTTTGTAAATGCTAATTACTAGTACTAGAAGGTTTCAAAAAGCATTCTCAAAAAAGGCAAACAAAGCAAAGGCTAAATATCAACAAATCATTGTTAATACCATTTAAATATGCAAGTAGACAATTTGGACAGAAGTTCTCTTTCGTCAGAAGGAGTTTGCAGTCTAGTCAATTCCAGTTTCCAGTTTTAGCTTCTAGCCTACAGCTCCTGACCTAAGCTTTATTGTGCCCTTTTAAAAAGGAATTTTCCTGAGCCATGTTGCCAGCTTTAACTACTGCTCATCTCTTCAGCCATCTAAACAGAAATTCATACTTGTATGCAATTCTTAAAGTAAGTCCACTAAATAAACCCAGCTATCATAAATGTACATTGACATTAAAGGTCTCGGTTTTCAGAAGAGCGGATGATGCAGACTATTTAAATTAGTGTATTTAATTAATTTCAAAACATAGTTATGTCTATACAGATGACAAAACAAGGTTACCCTATGAAAAAATACATTCAGTTCTGCTCTGAAGAACTTTGTGGCTCAGCAGTCAACATGAAAAATGAATTTTCTAGGATAAAACAAAAGGACACTCACTTTCAGCTTTCATAAGGAAGCCAGGTTTTTTGACTGTCAATTCAGGAGGTCCTTCTGCCATGGGTTTAGGAGACTCTGTTTTCTTAGCCATCTTCTCTTCTTGGTATTTGACTTCTTCCTCTTTCACCCATTCTTCAACTGAGTTGACCACCAGCTCGAGATAGTTCCTGAAAAGCACAACATTCCTCTATTTATATAATAATACACTATAATACAATTTTGACTCATATGATTTTAGGTCAAGCAAGATCACTTGGCTTCTCAGTTTCTTATACAAATATTACTCTATAATCTTTGAGAGAAGGCTTGTGTTTGAGGGGGTTTCTGTTTTACTTGAGAACTGGTACTTTTGCCTGCTTTGCTTAGTATATCTTACTGTTTGGGTTTTTGGTTATCCTTTTGCAAAGAGGTATTAGAAACTTGTCTTCCAAAGAATGCCTGCTCCCAGAGAAAATCCAGGAAGTCAGAAAACATGCAGACCTTCAGTTAAAGAAAAGTTCAGACTCATTCTGCTCCCCTCTGCTTTACCACCAGGGTAACTTATTTTCTTAGTTACTCTTAAAATCACAGAATCATAGAATGGTTTGGGTTGGAAAGGACCTTAAGATCATCCAATTCTAACACCCCTGTGAGGAAGGGATGCCTCACACTAGACCATGTCACCCAAGTCTCTGTCCAACCCAGCTTTGAACACTGCCAGGGATGGAGCATTCACCACTTCTTTGGGAAACCCGTTCAAGTGCCTCACCACCTTCACAAGGAAAAACTTCTTCCTTATATCTAACCTGAATTTCCTCTGTTTGATATGATGCCTTAATTGATACTGTCTTTTAGAACACACTTAATTTGTTCAGCAACTGAGGTAGAATTCTATTTAATTTCTAGTTCTTCTTTATCTGTGTGACAAGAAAGGTGTTTGGAAATTGTCATCCAAATGCAGATTAGAGAATCAGAGCGCTGTCGCCTGGTGTAAATGAAGAATATTCACTCTTAACAGTTAAGCTAAAGAGAGCACTGAATACAAAACAGATCCAGTTTGCAGCTGGTATCTGTAGTTGCACTGTGTCATCAGCCAACGGCGTCTGAAATGACTGCTAAAATAGTTCATGGTGAACAACTGCTCCTAAGGTACAATGAAGCCTAGAAGTCTCCTATGCAGTTGCTGCTCAACCCCTTGGTTTGGAGTGTTACCATAATTCTTTCAAGCAAAATTCTTCATTTGTGAAAAAATAGAAGGGGCTTTTAAAGAATGTGTCAGATGCAGTTGTTGTGTCTTCATAATGGTTTGCACTTATAAATTCAAGATGATTCAATTGTATTCAAAAGCTCTGTACTCATTACAGTTTTTGGTTGTGAACATGTAGGCAGCGCAACCAGTTCTGGACCTCATGACAGTTTCAAAGCATTTATTGCAGCATTATGTTGTTTAAGAGGATATGCACAGAGTGGAGATGTATATAGTTTGTGTACAGCTTCAAGACACACAAGTCCATCCCAGCTTCTGCAATACAGGTGGAACCTGTTCTGCCAGACTTACATGAAGAAATTGTTGGGGCCAAGGTGACCCTGCTTGTATCTCAAGAAAAAAGTACAAGCTCTAAAAACAGAGGTGTTGAAAAGAAAAAGCAAAACTAGGCTGCAACCTAGAGTTGCCAGTACTGGAATAACTTGAAGATGAATATAGGTTATAAATAAAAAAGTGATTATTCGCATGGAAAATATTTTAGGGCAATGAAACAGTCATTCAAAGTCAAAAATACATGTTCTATTAATATGTGTTCTGATGTCACTACTGCCAATATCTGACTCAGAATCATTTCTCAGAAAGGATGATTCTTTTCCAGTAACTTGTGTAATATGTTTACTATGAAACAGTAAACAAATGTCATTAAGATTAACTTTGAGCAAAAGAATAGTTTTGATAATGTCTGAATTCATTTGGGTTCCTGATGGAGGGGCCACTTATCCTAACCAGAGTTGAAATGTTCTATACACACGTACCACTGCAGGTACATGTGTTCATGTGTTTGGATCCTCTTAGTAGTATAACTGGATTTCACATGCAGACTCCTGCTGCCTGCTCTTTTAACAGTACAGTTCCTGAGTTCTACATGAACTATGGGGCATGATATCCATAGGGAAGGGTAACTGAGATCACCAGGAGCAAAAGCTGCTACTTTTGCATAAGATAAATATCTTAAACCAAGATACTTAATTCTCCCCTTGCATGAAGATTTGCTGTAAAGGACCCACTGTAACCAACTGATTAACAGGTAACAGAAGTATATTCTAGACAGCAACTTCGGAACAACCCCACAGAGTGGGTCTGTGGTCTATAAGATGTCAGAATAGGTAAGAAACAAATAAACACAGGCAGAGAACTCCTAACAGAGAGACAGTCAAGCAGTGTTTGTTGTGTATCTGTAATTCTGTTGTGGTGGAAGTGTAACTCTTAAATATATCCCCAAAATTAGAATTACAGTAATTTTAATAAAAGGAAAAATCAGTAAATTGTTACTAAACTCATCGAGAGCCAGTTATTTCATACAAAGATGGAAACTAGTAATACTACTGCTTAATCGAGAAATAGGGTTTGTGCCTGTTTCTGGCAACTCAGCAGGATCTGGAAGCTACTTGCATGCAACAGCTTGAAGCACTCCAGGTATGTAAAGACTGTCTTGCACAGAAGTGTTACGTTGCTTGGAAACATATGCTAGCAAATATTTATGATACTTTGGAAATCTGAAATGATCTTTAGCAAAAAGGTTGACTAAGGTCAGAAAATGTGCTGATTATTTTTGAGAGGAAAGACAGGTATAGATGCCACATAACAGATCAGCAGGAGATCCCACAGCTCTTCAAAGATACTAAGCAGCATATAGAGCAGTGACACTGAATATTTCTATGACAAAAGAGCAAAGTGTAACCTTCTTGTAAGCTTTCATGCCAGTTTAGAAGCTTCAGGAACTCCTTGCTGCTTTGAAACAGAATTTGACAAAGTGTCACTGAACAAAGATGGTGTGCCCAAAGCAGAAGTTTAAGCCTTGTTTCTACTGTATGTGGAAGAGTAAGAAGGAAAAAGCATAGAGCTATTTCATCCTCAACTGAATTATAATGCATCTACCAAAGTGCATGCTTCATTCCTTTTCTGGATGTAAATTAGCAACGTTTGTTTTGCAGGTATCAAGAGCTCTTCCCATTTCTCAATTGGCCTTTAACTGGCTATTTCAATTCCCTTTCAAGGTAACCAGCCAAATTGTTCTAAGACTCCACAGATGAAGAATTGTGTTTTGAAGAGAAATGCTTCCTGAGGAAGTCTGGGTCCTCACTATCTGCTCCTACAGACAACACAACAGCAATATGCCCTCCGGATGACAAGTTACTCAGTGTATGTAAATGCTGAGTGACATGTTAGATACACTGGAGTATGTGATCTGGCCTCCAATGTCTGTCCCAAAAGGGTATGGATTTCCTGTGGGTCTCATACCATCTGTGTCAGCCCTGTGCACATATCTCAGATACACCAGGTATTTAACCTGGCAACTTGTTCAATGCTCCCAAACCCAGTAAGAATAGCTGGCAAAGTAAAAAGCTCTCAGCTTCAGAGTTTTGTATAACAGACTTTAAGACCACTGTTGATTTGCCCAACAATCACAAAATAGTCAGCATTTTCTCCAAGGAACTTTGTGTTTCTGCTGGCAAATCTCTTCTGGCCCTGGTCCCAGACAATGCTAATCACAGTATCTCTTGTCATGGCAAATAATTTTAGTCCAAGTGCCTAGAAAGCTAAGATGGACTCACACAATGTTCCCTGACTGAAAGACAAGACATGAAATCTAATACAAAATATGTCTTCAGAAAGTCACGCTTTGCCTCTTTAGCACTCAAACCTGTTCAAACATCCAGGTGCCAACAAAAGTTTCCATGAAAAAAATCTCATATGCTGATAAATGAGGGATGCCTGCAGAAAAATGGGGTATGGGATGTCCACTGGATAATTTGCTGAAATTCTATTTGATAAATCAAATTTAATAAATCCATAAAGCTCCAGAGTGACATGGTTAAAGATAGCTCATCCGTCTCTCCACGGCATTGTAACTTCTTTACATATCAGTACATGGACACACGTTCTATTTTCTGTCAATTATTTAGCATAGAAGTTGGATCCACCTCATCACTTATCATTGTTTCAGATCCACATCACCATTTATATTGCTGTTTCAGTGCAAAATGAATAGGTCCACTGACAAAAGGTCTGAGCAGAGACATCAACCACTCACATCCTTCCAACTGATGACCAGGGATTAAGAAGAATGTGGTATTCTGTGAAAAAAGGGCTTCTAGCATTTCTCGAAACATTTTCCCAGTACGCACACCCAGTTTGTGTATACAGAGATAAAAAAACTGTTAAGTATATTCTTAGACAGAGTTTTCTTTTCAACCTCCTTCACCTGAAGTGTCCTCATCATAATTTTCTTGATGTTTTGTTCAAACCATGACAGGATATCCCTGCTATGACTCTGCGTGTATGTGTGCATTACCTCTCTTTTTATAGTTTGCAATAATGCGTCACATGCAGTTACTGCATGGACCTCCTCACTCAGAAAAGCTTTGTCTCAACAGAACACTTTTTTGGTATAACACTGCATGACATTTCACATGTTTTCTCATAAATGTGTTACATTGTGATATCTTTTACTACCCCAGCTTCGCCCCAAGCATAGCCATGGAAGCTTTAACTAAAAATGACTGAGAATGAGGTAAGTAAAAACAAATACAATAAATTACCTGAATCCAACATTAGAATGCAATGCAATATCCCAAGTCTCTTGGCACAAACGATATTGATTCATGGGATTGTGAAGAACCATTAACAAAGAATTATCTTGGGTATAATAAAAGGAATCAATACATCTATATTCTTGGGATGCAGTATGAAGAACCTGGAAAGGAAAGAAATAAAGGTACTTCCTCCCTGCACACAGTAGCTTTCAGCAAAAAGTGTTTCAGAACTCTGCCTTCCTATAAGATGCATGCAAAGCATTTGTATTCCAGCAATCCAAAGTGTTCAGGTAGGTGGAACTGAAACTCTGCTATTCATATTGAGAAGGGGCAGTCACTATGGTCCACCTTCTGAGACTGCCTATGAATGAGGAAGTTTGGCTAAAAATAAACAAATACATTTAAGTATTAAAGAAATGCTTAAATTTCAATAATAAAGTGCTTAAATAATAACTACTAAATTAAAACAAAGCTAACATATACCAGGTAAAATGAAAACAAATTTACTTTTTTCTTAGCTTGGTTAAGCTTACTTGCTATTCAATTTGCTATACTCTAACCTGCCTAGCTCTGAGATTTACTGTGTTCAAAATCGGTGTTTCACTCTGCTCTGTACTGCCCCATCATTTGCAATGTTTACTTTGTCTGCAGGCTGAAACTTATTCTATAGCTAGAAGAAAGCTGCCTTTTAAACTAGTATTTTTACAGAACCATGTAACTCCAATAAAATGGAAATAACTCCATATCAGTTAATATTCTTTATAAACATGAAAACTTTAACAGCAGCTGATGGAAAAAATATGTTCAGATCTGATGTAGTATAAGGAAGTATTCTTATAAAATGTTATTTTCTGTTGCAATGTTTTTTTCTGTTGCAGTTATTTTCCATCAGAATCTTTTGACTAGATTCCCTAATTATTGACAGTTCAGTTAGTATTAGATATTTATGTTGCATAAGAAGGAATTCCCCATGTACTGAAAGACATGGCAAGACTTCAAATTTGTGATACTAACGTGGTACTGAAAATGTCCAAGCAGCCTTTCTTTCACCCATCTATAGCATGGGTCAGGATCAAATAAAAATTGCAGCATATAAAGCTCATGGCAGCACAAGAACTCCACTCCTCTCAAGAGAATGCTTCCAACTTAAGCCATTTACACTTGAACTTATCTTTCATACATTTCATTCTTTCTGAAAGATGAGTTTTAGTCTTTAGCTTGAAAGATTTCTATAAGTGAAACTTTTGTAGCCCTGAAAGGCTGAAGCACCATTATAACAACCTTTTCTATTTGCCCATAAATCATACACTGCATAGGTATTTGCAAAGTGTGCTTTCACATACACTGTGCTAATGAGTCCCATAACTGCCAGGGAGGATCACCCCTAAGGGCAAGATCATTTTGTGTCTATCACATGTTTAGCTAAAAGAGTCACTACCAAACAGGACAGCTGCATTTGGCCAGGCCAGGAAATAAAACCCATTACAAGCAAAAATTCACAGAAGAAGCTGAAAGGAAAAATGAGGGCTGGTAAAATGTAAAAGGGATAAAACTGGACCAATTATCTAGCAAGACAATACCCTGTACTTCACAACTGATTTCTTTGTATGGCATTCTGAGGGATGACTGTACGGGTAAGATTGTCAGTTCACTGATACCTGAAGAAGAATATGTGGTTGAAAATGCTCATCAAAACTCCAGTCTGTCAAACAACGCCTCTGTGTCTTTTTGATCTCTTCTAAGTTTGGTTTTAAGCTGTAATTTTCCAGACTCACCTCAAAATACACCAAAACAAAATGAATACCAACATTTCAGTGACAGTTGTATTAAAACAAATGTAATCTTGTAGACTTACTAGACAGCATCCCATATTATATCACAGTTAATTGCATAATGCTGCACATGTGTAGACCCGTATGGCACTATTACTCCCAAAGGTTTTTGGTCTTGGTTTTTTCTTTTATGGCAAACATAATCTGAATATTTTTATTATTAGGTTATATGTTTTTGAGTTCTGTAAGCAATTACAAATATTTAAACATGTCCTATGAAGTCATCTTGAAATTGCTATATTTATCCAGAGCTGTATGGGAGACAGGTGTTTCTGAAGATGCCAAACTACAGAGTTTACTAGTGTGATACATCTCTCAAACTCTCATGCTAGTATTTGACCCCTGGTATTCATTGAAACCAGTGCAGAATTGCCATTAGTAGCTTCACCAAGACCTATCACCTCAGAAATCAAAGTGATTTTATAGTGCTTAAAATCTATGGCACTACTTGTCAAACATCACAAAATTAACATTTGCATGCAGCACTGCAAAGGAATCTTCAGTCCTGGCACTGAACAGTATCTTCTGTTGTCTTACACTATAGAACACAGTTTATTCCATTCCTCACACTTGCCATAGCTAAAGGAGGAAAATCCGATTCTTTCTTCAAAATAGGATCAGCCAGACTATCTCTTCCATCTTTGCCATTCATTTCTGTATGTCCTGGAAATTGAAAGCAGAATGTTAGGAAGTGCTGCAGGAATTTCAGTCCTTAAAACTGAGGTCAGAATGATGCAATTTCCCTAGCCTCTGTAATGAGACTGCCATCAACTTGAAGCTGTCTTTTACGACACTTACCCCTATAAATGCATGATCATCTCTGCTAAGCTTCTTTCCTAAAAGAGTGCTTTAAAACCCAGGAACAACAAGTGCCAGACATCAGGGACTGTAGTGATAGGACAAGGGGTGAGGGGTTCAAACTGAAACAGGAGGTTAGATATAAAGAAGTTCTATACTGTGAGGGTGGTGAGGCACTGGAATGGGTTGCCCAAAGAAGTGGTGAATGCTCCATCCTTGGCAGTGTTCAAGGTCTGGCTGGACAGAGCCTTGGGTGACATGGTGTAGTGTGAGGCGTCCCTGCCCATGGTAGGGCGTTTGGAACCGTGTGATCTTAAGGCCCTTTCCAACCCAAACCATTCTGTAATGCTATGAATTATCATTATTATTATTATTAACACTATTAATTATGATATTAAATATCATTACATATAGCATATTATAATTATATATAACATATAGTGATATTATACCATTGTAATATAATTAATTTAGTAATAACAGTAGCAGTAATAATAAACAACACTTCATAAAGCCCACTGAAATCGCTCCCTTTATCTGTCTTATGCTGACCATACACAGTGAAAACCATTAAAAATACCCTGAGAAGTGTGCTCCAGATGACGGACCATTTTTCTACATACTACCTGAGAAGCAGTAATAAGCATTCCCTTGCAGAGGTGACATAAAAGAAAGCAAAGTCAACTGCTTTGATATTTTCACCTCTTTCTGAAAAATGCAAATTTAAACCTTTCAATTAATTCGATTTATCCTGTTCTGTAAGCTACTTGACCGAATATTGTTTCTGCTGAGGATCTGACCAGTCATTCCATAGTTCCAATGGGCACCTGACATGAACAGGATCTCATAGAGACTTTAACTTTCCTATTCTCATAATTCTAAAAACATAATTTGCTTTTAGTAGAATTCTTTAGGCCCTGATTTAGGGCAGAGATTACTAATACTCTACAGAAATTCACACATACAACAGAAATAATGTTCCTGGGAAAAGATACCCCAGAAAGAACTTGTTCATAATAGGCTTGTAACCAGCTCAGCTTCCAGACTTATACCTGCTTTTCTAGGAAATTTACTGACTGCCTTTAGAGGATTTAAGAAATCTGAAAGCAAACCTTTTCTCTTCCTAGTATTTGCTTTTGTGCTGCAGAAGTGTTGAAATGTTGGTGGCTATGTTTGTAACTAAAATTATTTAGTATTGTAACTAGTATAAAAGTCAAATAAACTAACACCCAAAAAAAGTTCATGAAATTCAGAAGAGAGACAGATAAGCAGGATTATTTTTTGTCTACTCCAGCCTTCTAAGGAAAGGATCCCATCTAAGCTGGTTGCCTAGACATCTATATTAGGAAAGCATGGGCAACATAATGAACCTAAAGGTACAGCCACTTAAATGAACCTAATTTCTACTTTTCTTGCATCCCAGGAAAATAATCACTTATTTTTAATGTTGCTTCTTGTCCAACACTGTTCCTTTAAGCAGGCCAACAGCTTTTCATTAAGTTAGAATCTGCAGGAGAAAATGCAGAACTCTGAGAAAATTGATCCTTCATTGCATACAAGAAGTTTACCACATCTCTGCTCCTGCTGTTCAAAATGTTCCTATTCTAACATGAATGGTAGTTACAATGGCTCAAATGCTGAAGATATGCCAACAGCGCAGACTGGAAATGAAGTAAGAGAAGCTGAGGAAGTTGAAACACAGCTCAGACGTTCTCTATGATTTTAACTTGCGGGTTTTCAGATATTTCTGGCCAAATGCAGACAGACTAATGTGACTGTGAAAACCGGATGTTTAAACTTCTATGTTACAACACCTGGTCTACCATGCTACCCTTATTCTGATTTCTTTTCATTAATCTCACTTTCTTCAACACCTGATAGATACGTTCCTCTTCCCCTGTTACTTCTGAATTTGGCCTCAAATTTTGGATATCAAAACTCTACTGGATTAACCTACATGTGGAAGAACAGTGAAGCCTGGAAGAAAAAAGTTACAAGGGAAAGGTATGTATGCATGGGTTATTACAATGTATAGCATACCTTCTTTTTTTTTCTTTTTTGTCATTTTCAGCTTCTTATATCCCTCTCTAGAGTCCCCATGTGTAAGTTATATGCTCATTGCATTTCTTACTACTCATTCACTAGTAATCATCTAATTAACCTGATACATAGAATCACAGAATGGCTTGGGTTGGAGAGGACCTTAAGATTATCCAGTTCCAACCCCCTGCCATGGGCAGGGACACCTCACACTAGACCATGTCGTCCAAGGCTCTGTCCAACCTGGGCCTGAACATTGCCAGTGATGGAGCATTTACCACTTCTTTGGTCAATGGGTTCCAGCGCCTCACCACCTTCACAGTACTTTTTCCTTATATCCAGTCTGACCTTCCCCTGTTTCAGTTTGAACCCATCACCCCTTGTCCTGTCGCTACAGTCCCTGATGAAGAGTCCTTCACCAGTGTCCCTGAAGGCCGCCTTTAGACATTGGAAGCTGTTCTGAGTTCTCCATGCAGCTTCTCTTCTCCAGGCTGAACAGCCTCAACTTCCTTAGCCTGTCTTTATATGAGAGGTGTTTCAGCCCCCTAATGCTTGTTACTGACTTCGTAAAGACCAGGCTGCCATCATAACTCACAAGAGCCTTTCTTCAGAAAGGTATTTAAGCATGTCTTCAGTATGACAGGTCTATAAAATATCTTTGATGTAATAAACCATAAACCAGTTTTCTAGTACATACTTTTCAACAAATATAATTTTAGAAAGTTGCTTACACAAACTGTTAATGTTGTCATATAAACCAGATAGCTTTAGTCTTTACCTAGTATTCCTACATAGATACTGAAAGTACAGACTATACAATACTTGAAAATTCATGTGGGGTTTTTTCCTGGTGATTTGTACTAGGAAAAAAAAACAAACCAAACAATAATCACTGCCCTGCAAGAGCAAATGACATGGTAAAATAAATAATGGAATCAAATATTTCAGGAGTAATGTAAACAGATGGTTTTTTTTCCAGAGCCTTTTGGAGATTCCCCATTAAGCTTCTTTTCCATAAGGAAGAGTTGCCTCAGCTGTCTTGCAAACCTGGCTGTATTATCCCAAGGGTTATAAGACACTTCACAGTCACCTCCAATCATAGATCCAGAGCTCTCCAGGAGACCAGAGTCACTTGGCCCAGTCAGCCTCAGGCTTTCAAAAGTAAGCACTCTGAAGGCCCTTTCTACTTCAGCCCGACTCAGAAGTTCTATAAAAGAATTACAACCATTAACTGAAAAAGTCCTTATGGCTCAGCAAAAGATAAATAGAAGACTATGCAAGTGTATTGTTCTTGGCAACTCTGCAAAAGCCAACAATAATTTCCTTAACAGTATTGGATCAAATTAGATGAGCTACATTTTACACTGCATTCAAAGTTGAATGCTTCCAAAGTGCAAAATGATATGCTTAACTTTTAATCCATCTTAAATGAAGTACTTCCTACGTCTGAATACCTCCTGGCTCATTAACTTTCTATAAATGATGTTGGTTTTAAAATACTGAGTAGACTTTATCGACCAGTTAACAACTGGTTCAGTTAATGAAAAGTTTTCCATTATCATATGGTTTTTCATTATCTGCAGCTCTCAAAACAAATAATTTTTCTGTACTCAGACAAGATTTTAATTTAATTTTTAATAAATTTTTATTTTAATAATTTACACAGAAGTATGCAAGGTGCAAAAGGAATAATAAATCCTATTTATGGCTGTATGCATTGGTGTCCATATAACAATGATAATCATGAGAAGCACTGAGTTTTAATGAAGGTAGATCAGTGCCCAAATCATCCAAAGAGCATCTTCAGTTTGAAATCTTTTCCCTTTATGGTCAGTTAAACAACCAAGCATGTCACATATCTTGAAAATGTTGGATATCTCCTATTCAGATCAGCCACCTTCTTGCTAAAAGCTAAATTAACAGTTGGGAGAGTTTGGCCATATATTATGGTCCAATGATGACCATCAAATATGATACCCATCAGTTAGCATGCTACAGCAATACAGACTACCTAAATAGCTCAATATCCAAAATGAACACACCAGTAACTAGAAACAATGCAGCGAGTGCAAATTAATCCAACACAAGGGATTTCAGGACTGAATAGATGGAAAAGTACCTTCAAATCCTATGCCTTATATGATGGCATAAATGTAACCAAAGGGATTTGGATGTTTGTGTTTCTTAATAACCTAAACCTCTGAAACTACCTAAGGGTATTTATGTAGTCTTCGGGACTGTTTCTCAGCGTAAGTCATGGTGGTATGCACACTCCAAGAAAAGGTGACTGCAGAAGTGATTACACTTGAAGAAGTGAATGTATTCTTGGTTTGATAAAGGGACTATTACAGAAGTAACTTCATTATTGACACCAACAGCTTCCACCAAATACATTCTGAAAGCCATACTCAGTGCAATAAAAATCTTCTGAGATACATGTGCATTTTACTTCCTAGGATCAAAATAGTGATAACAGTTGTAATTTATACAACTTTTTTCCCCCTCAGATTCAGTAAGTGCTTGTATATTTGCGAATATAAATAGATAAAGAAGTTCTAACAGACTTTCAGCTCTTATGCAAGATTTAATACTTGTATAGCCTTTCCCATTAACCACAAAACTGAGGTTTAAAGTTAACCCTAACTTGGGTAGTAGGTTAAGATATAAGGAAGAATGGGAAAATGGGAAATTCTGCAAAATGTTTTAGAGAGGTGAAAAAACTTGTCCCCAGATTCCTGCTATTTAATAAGGTGATCAACTAAATGAGAAAAAAAAAAAGGAATGTTTATCAATGCAAAAGATAATCTCTTTACCACTGGTACAGTAATGCATGAGCTTGTGAAGACTGGCCATGCGTTTAGGGTTGTTTTCAGTTGAAGGAAGGTTTAACTGGATAAGTTCTATAAGAGGAAGTTTATCCATCATTTCCCGCTCAATCTTTTCTGGATTTAAGTTCTCCTGGACCTGGAACAAACCCCAAAGTTACCAGAATCAAAGTAAACTTTCACACTAGTGGATTTCTAAAAATTATGTTTGAATAAGGAATTCTTTTTATAGTGAAAGACATAGGCATGTGCTTAAATCAGCTGGACTTACATTTGAGCATGTGCTCACAGTGTGATTTTGAATTATGGTGGCAGGTGTTTTAGGCAGAAAAAAAAGGAGATACATAAGAGAATAACTTACGGCATAACTACAGACATTTGTTAGAAGGCATCTGCTTGTGCTACCTAGACTAAAAAATTCTGGAATACAAAAACATATACTGATCTATTCAGACAGGCAGCAGGTCCCTTCCATGTATCTTTCAGCTGGTCTGTGCAACTTCTCATGGTAACGAAGTCTGTAAACTCATTTACCAAGTCTGTGACAGCATCATCCCTACACATTAAGGATTTATCTAAAAAGGTAAATATAGATACCAGTAAGCACTGGTATCTTCCAACTTCATTCTTTTTAGTATTAAACACTTTACTTTTAAAATTAAACAATTTAGTATTAAACACATTTTAATATTAAACACTTTTTTTAAGTACCTTTTTCTTGGACTGTAGCTTCCAAATCTTTTTCCTCTATCCACCACTCATTATTGTGCTATCCACTCCTCATTGTGCTATATCCTGAACTTCCTCTTCAGCAAGTATATCATACGCATCAAGTATATGCCTGCTAAGAGCATCTCTCTCTGTGATTACTCAGTCCTGCCTTCTGCTTGAATGCCTCCTCCAATGTATCAAGCTCAATTTGCTTCTGAATACTGTTATAATTAATTGTTGTCAAAGTATTTCACAGAGAATTTGTAATTCATGAAGCCAGCAGATGCTCCTTAACTGTGAAATCTAGAACTGTTTTGTCTTCAGAGTATCGTCAAAGTTTAATGGCAAAACTACACCTTGGCTTGTTTTGGTTCACAAAGTCTGGAAACTGTTACTTTGCAATAATTCCAAACCTTGCAGTCTCTGAACATTTCTGCCTTTGTTAGAATTTGGCAACATCTTGGTTATACACTATGCTTCAACTATTAAGCCAACCTGAATACACTTATCTTCACTAACAACCTTTATGTCTTTTCTCACATTTCTCTACATCTCAGTATTTAATCTAGTGCAAATGCTAAATCACTGTTGGAAAGTTAGTAACGAATTTTCCAGTTTCACCAGTGTTTAACTACAGTAAATCAGAGTTCTGTAGTATCTTTCATCTATGCCAAAAGCTAAACATTCTTATTAATAATGCCAACAGATCACTGAAATCACTGTCATGCTCTGTCTGTGATGTGTCCTCTGTCAGTGGCAGTAACTCATCACTTCTTAAGCCGGCTAAATATGTTAGTGTGTCTATCTCAGGAGGAAAGAATGTAGGCTACACTGCTCTGCTTTGGAAAAACAGCATCTTTTTTAGTGCATTGAGTGTTTACAGCCTGTGGATTTTAGAACTGTTTATATATGACAGGTGGGACCATACCTTCAGCAGATGCAACCGCTGAGCCAGGGTATCATGGCAGTTAAATAAGAGAGGGTACTCTGGGGTGACAGGCTTTTCTTCACTGTAGTTAGGTGAAAAGTAGTCATATAGATTCTGTTAAAAAAAAAAAGAAAGATGCGTTAAACACCAATAATGAAATTTGCCATTTGAGGAAATGAACCAAAGACAACACAAACCTTTTTTTCACTTTTAGAAAGTGAAAGAGAAGGAAGAACAGAAGCTATGTGTTCTGCAATGGTATGATGTAGCCCATCTGCCCGAGGCTCTGGTACTACCAGACTAGGTGGCGTAAGGCCCTCTTCACTTGCGATAACCTGGCAAAGATGACAGTTGTTAGCTTTCATTACAGTATGACTGCTTCTTAACTTAAAACCACCAAGTAGACCTGCTTATAGCCAAACAGACAGCCATAAATTTTTGCCAGGACTGTAGCAAAATGCAACTTTCCGTGTTAGTTCCTGCCCAAAACAAAGATTATAGAAAACAGAATATTTTCTCCTATTACTTGCTTTCGGAAGAGTAAGAAGAAATGTATTTCCAACTTGAAATGTTAATGAATACAGGCAATGAAAAACTGGTTGCGTATCAGGTGTTGGACTTATTTTGGGTGTTTTCACCTGGGTCCATTTTCAGACTGAATTGGAAAAAGTAGAAAAAAAAATATGAAAAAAAATAGAGGATTGTACTGAAATTTTCTTTCTAAAAGGAGGAGGATTTCCAAATCATGCTGTAGGGCCCTGCTAACTCCTAGCTTGTGCCTAAACTCAACAGAAGTCAGCTCTGCCTAGCATGAGCACCAATATATGCCATTTTAATGTTAGGCTTTCCCTAAGACCTTTGTACTGAGTAAAACAGTGCAAGTTCACAATCACCAACATTGTGGCAGGGCATCAGGACATGAAAAATAAATATAATGACTTTGCTAAAAAAAAAAAAATAAAATTACTTTTTTTCCTCATTTGGTTATATTTGACCTGTAATCTTGGAAGAAAATAATCTTAGAGTAACACTAGATATACACAGTAAGTACACAATACAAAAGAAAACCAAAGATTTCACTTTTGAATTGTGATTCCTTTGTATTGAACCACCTTGGTCAGTGCCTCCGGTCTCATACTTTTGGCTGAAACAGATAGATTTATTGATCTCTGATCAATTCATTATACCAGGTCTAAGCAGAATTACCCACAGGAATTATAATGAGAATATTCTCACCTGTTCCAACATGCAGTTCAGCATTAAGGGTACAGAAAAGTATTCCTCAGGAATCAGACTCAGTAAGTCATTGTAATACCTCATGTCCACAGAAGTATCCAAAAAAGAAGCTGTTGTAATAATAGGTAAAATATTATGATCTATTTCTTCAGAAATACCAATTTTTATTACCAACCAGTTCAATGTTCAGACAGTTTTTCTTGGAAAGGCTAACAAAATCCACCCCTATAGAGCTATCTATCTGACTGTGACTAGGAACAGATAGAAAAAGTGATTTCTAAAAAACTTAGTTATCACCACTGCAGTTTCTGGAGACTTTCAGAATGTATTCACCAAGAAACTACTTTCACAACATTGAGTCATGTCTTCAGCTTATTGTGCAAATCATGCCAAGGATTTGTGCTCAGGTAAATGACATAGTGAGCAGCTACAGATGAGTGCTTTAATCCTTTAGACATACCCTGTGACAAAGTTGGTGTTGGAAGAATTTCTCCCGCTTGCCCTTTTTTCTTTGAAGTTGTAAACTGTGATGGTGATCGTACCTAAAGGAACAAAAATAAAGATAAAACCTATCAGAAAGAGTAGAACAAATGAGGACTGAACAAATAGATGGGAGAAATCAATGATCTTAAAGGTCTTTTCCAACTTAAAAATTATTTGATTAATTTAGCTTTGGTTTCACTAACCCTAGACCAGATGCTAAACTTCTACACAGCCAATATTAGGGGAGAGAAATCCCATTTAACTCTCAGCTGAACAAGACAGTGAGAATATAGTCTTATGAATGCCTTAAATGAGCTTTCAGTAGTACCGCTACAGACGGAGTAAGCCGATTTTTCCGTGCCCCTAGTACATGTCCTAATAAGCCACTTTCTTCTGCCCACTGAAGCTTTTGTTTACCATGAACAAAATAAGGAAGCTGATCTTGCACAGAACTAAATCTTGTTTTGACACTTCACAGATCTGCAACAGGACATGGTACCTCTGCGCAGGCATGTTGAGTTTTGAGCCCCAAGAAGGTGTCATCATAAGCTATTAAAGGAATTTTTACACCTGTGATACTTTATGCCTGTATGAACCTTTAAATTTCCCTCTTCCTGTTTTCCCAATGCTTTTCTTCCTTCCCCTCTTCCCCATTCTTTGCGATTTTAAATGCTGAAGTAGAAAAATCCCAATTTTATTAACAGAAAATTACATATGAAGTGATGGTCCAAGGGGAATTTTTAAGTGCAGAATTAAAGACGGGCATTTCTAGCCTACAACTAGTTATTCTTGACAAGTAGAGAAGGATCCTTGCCTCAAATTCACGTGGTTGTGTCAATTTGCTCTCTGATAATGCAGGCACATTAGTAAACTTGGTGTTTTCCAAGTAGTTACGATGCTGTCTTCTCCAGTCCAGGCAGTCATACATTAAACAAGCAATGCTTTCAAACACCAGAGTGCCAAATGCAAGCTATGACAGAAAATCAGACACAAAGGATGAAGTTTGCACACAAAAGTATCATGTAACTTAGCCATGTAAGTCCTTAGCTCTCTAACCAGCAAATCTACAACTGTTTAAAAGTCTTGCAAGGGATTTTTTTTTTTTTCTCTCCACTAATTCAAAATGTTTTACAGAGTTATTCTAAGAAAAAAAGGCTTCCTCATTTTAATTTTATTTCAGCTATAATATAGCTGCTCGCAGGGTATTCACCAGTAGCAACAGCCTGATATGATGTGATGATGGGAAAGGTAAACAAGATAAAAAACTTCTTTTCCAAAATAGGCTGAATATTTTAACATGAAATCAATAATATGCTGATAAGTAATGTTGTAAGTAGCAAGCCTACACATTTCCTCAATTGAGGCATTTTTAGTGTCTGCCTTGGAAACCATTCTGGCTTTAGCCAGACTTAGTTCTGATCCCCTCGGGATCAAGTGTACTTCCTGGTTCACCAGATTGTTTATATACAGGATTTAGTGTACAATAAATAAGTGTTAAGAGGACATCGTCTACCCTTTAACCCTAATAACATAGACCACAAATAGGGGAGGTTGAATTATGGCATATTGCTTTATTCTGCTTTAGCAATTCGTATTTTTTTACTGCTGCCGTTGTGGATTGAAAAATATTTGACCCTTTACCTCACTACACTTGGAAACCTGGCTGGAAACAATTCCTACTGCTTCACTTTCTCTTGCAGTGCCCAGTAATAGTCCTGACTCAGCAGGTGATAATGAGTAATATGCCAGAGCCATGTTTTGGGTTGGACAAAGCAAAGAGGTACTGGGTATGCTAAACCAGCATCTTCTGTCAAAAAGGGTTCTCACATTCATTTTAGTTTGGTTTCATGTGAATATTCTGAAATACAGTAAATTGACCTACTGTTATGAGGACAAAACTGTAATTTTGGTGTTATTTTATACAGACATCTGACTCTCCAATGATATCCAAATTGGGTCTATGTAAAGATGCTGAATAAATTTAGTATCTTGAACTGTTTTAAAACTCTGCTACTGTGGTCTACAATATTAAGAAACTCCAAGTCAGGTATTTTTATGCAAAGGACTCTTTGTGAATACATGCTGAATAAACTTATTTGATACAAGAAAATAATTTCTGATCAGGATTACAAATATATTAGTTGCACTGGTTCTGTTTCACAGAAGGCTAAGGTAAAATTCCTGTAATTTCTAAACTGTCTTAAATGTTACAAACCCCAAAGCATGCCATGTGTTCTGAAAGCAGAATCTACTGACCAGCATTTCCCTGTCAGACCAATCAGGGGGAAAGGCACTCTCCTTAACTATGTGATGAAGTCTGGCAACATCAAAGAGACTTGATCCAGGCTTTCCACTGTTCAGAACTGGTTCCAGGTATTTCCAAAATGTTTCCAGATCTTTGATAGCTTCACTGTTCTTTCTTTTCTCCGCTTCTATAACTAAAAAGTGCAATTATTAGATAAATCACAGTACAATGCCCTTTTACACAAAGCACAAATCTTATATTAATATATTTAAGTATAGGGTAAGCAAGCTTTATTATTATGATTTTATTGGTGTGGAAGCTGGAGATTAAGGTACAGTATGACTATGGACAGAGAACCTAGAAGTTGTATGGTTTCCTGATTCACTGCATAGTAATGATCAGTTATCAAAGATGCTCTAGATACTGCAAAAAAAGAAAATTCTCTCTTGACGCCAACCTTACAGTCACACTCTGGAATCTACTATAGCCTAATTTGAGAGACATAAAGACACCAAACTTGCAGTGACTTGCTTTCATTTGGATTTATGGGTGCTCAGCACTTCCAAACTGTAATTATGATGGCCAAATACCTCACTTGTGTATTTCCAGTGGCCCCAGGGGTTTAAAACAAAACAATTCAGTGAAGCCATTCCCCCTTGTCCTGTCCCTACAGGCCCTTGTCAAAAGCCCCTCTCCAGATTTCTTATAGGCCCTTTAAGCATTGGCAGCTGCCCTAAGGTCTCCCTGGAGCCTTCTCTTCTTCAGGCTGAACAAGCCCAACCCTTTCAGCCTGTCTCCAGCCCTCTGATCATCTTTGTGACCTCCTTTGAACTCACTCAAGCAGGTCCACATCCCTCTTGTGTTAAGGGTCCCAGAGCTGAACACAATAATGCAGGTGGGGTCTCATGAGAGCCCAAGTCTTCCTCAGGGCTGCTCTCAGTCCATTTTCTGCCCAGCCTTTATTTGTGCTTGAGATTGCCCCGACCCATGGGCAGGACCTTGCACATGGCCTTGAACTTCATGAGGTTTGCATAGGCCCACTTCTCAAGTGTGTCAAGATCTCTCTGTACCCCTTCCCTCCAGTATGTTGACTGCACCACACAACTTGGCGTCGTTGGTGAACTTGCTGAGGATGCATCAAATCCCACTGCCCATGTGGCTGACAAAGATGTAGAACAGGATCAGTCCCAACACTGACCCTGAGGGAAACCACTTGCCACTGATCTCAACTTGGACTTTAAGCCATTGACCACAAGTCTTTTGAGTGCAACCATGTAGCCAATTCCTTACCCACCGAGTGGTCCATCCATCAAATCCATGCCTCTCTCCAGTTTAGACACAAGGGTGCTGTGCAGGACAGAGTCAAGTGCCTTGCACAAGTCCAGACAGGTGATGTCAGTCACTCTTCCCTTATCCACCAATGCCGTAGCCCCATCCTAGAAGGCCAACAAATTTGTCAGGCACGATTTGCCCTCAGTGAAGCCATGTTGGCTGTCACCAATCACCCTTACTTTCCATGTGTCTTAGCATAGTTTCCAGGGGCATCTGCTCCATGATCTTGCTGGGCACCATGGTGAGACTGAGCAGCCTGTAGTAACCCAGGTCTTCATTTTTTCATTTTTTGAAAAATGGGAGTTATGTTTCCTTTTCCAGTCAGCAGGAACTTCACCAGACAGCCACAGCTTCTCAAATATGATGGATAGTGGCTTCTCAACTACATCTGCCAGTTCCCTCAGGGCCTGTGGATGCATCTTGCCAGGTTCCATAGACTTTAGCACCTTCAGGCTCCTTTAGATGAGTTTGAACCCAATCTTCTCCTACAGGCAGTTCTTCATTCTCCTTGTCCCTGCCTTAAGTATATTTTCATCCTGTAAATACTCTCAGAATGAATTAAAGTCTTCAAGAATCACTAGGATGTGTCAGGTCACTCATTTCCAGCAGAAATGGGGAAAAATTAATTGCATTTTGTCAGGCTGAGAGATTGATCCGAGTTTTCTCAGAAAAGTTGAATTAGTAGTGGTACACCTACTAGACTGTTTAGAGGAACAGAAAATTAACAGTAGGAAAGGGTACTAACAGTGCTTGACTTGTTAACCACAAAATGAAAGTCATTAGGGGATGCAAACACTTGGGAAGGAAAAGGAACATGAAAGCTATGGTCCCTAATCCATGACTGATGTGTATTCATGCTAAGAACAACAGGAACACTGTAACAGAACAGCATTTACAGGTTAACGGCTTCCTGTTTGAAAATTTCTCTGTACGTTACAGAAATGATCAACCACGATCTATTTTTTAAGTCACTGAACTATGAAGTACTTTAGTTAATAACTGCTCCAAGGCACAATCAACTGTACCTGTATCAATGCAAGCAGACATTTGTCTTAATATAACTTTAAAAGCCTCAAAGACTCAATAATATTCCTACTCAGACTACTCCAATACTTTACTAACCTCACCTATGGAAAGCTTCTACCTGCTCCATTGTATTTCCTTGACTGCAATTCAAACACTTTATTTTCTGTCCTAGCCTTTTACAAACTTCAAAACTTTTATCATTTTTCCACTACATCATTCAGCCTTCTCCTCTTAAACTTAAAGATAACAATTCCATTTTTTTCCTCATAAGTAAAATTTTATAGATCCTTAATAACCTTCTTTTCCATAATTTGAAGTTTTTGTGATTGGCACATATTTCATACAAGGTCTTACCTCATCATTGATTTGCTTGATCAGATTACTTCAGGTATTTTTAGGATATATTCTAATTTATAATCTGGAGATTTGCATTTGAACCTCACTCCCTTATTCTAATACTCATGACAATACCTAATAATACCAGACACAGCACAAATTCCCTTGAGTTCACACCATGCATCCTATTTGAGGGTAAAGCTTTAAAAGTTACTTTAGAGAGGACAAAGTTTTTGAATGAGACTGCACCTACTATAGATTTATTTTCATCTATACCTACCTTGCTTACTGTGGGCTATGTGAAATAGCCTTGTTAAAATCCAGTTATACAACACTGGCTATTCCTCTGCTCAGAAGGCCAATACTTCATTTTGTAAGGAAATTAAACTTGTCTGACATGATTTGCTCTTGAACTGCATACATTAGGTGTTACTCATCTCCTCATTCTTTTTTTAAGTGGTTATAAATTATTGTTCCAGTATTTTTCCAGAAACAGAAGTTATGCAGATTACAGAGCCTTGGCTATTTGTGCTCCTTCCTCTCTTCCTCACAGCTCTTTTTTCCACTATCTCACTTGCTTTTTATGAGTTCTCAAATAGAAATGAGAATGGCAGGCAAATCTTTAAATAGAATACCATGTAAGTTAATCTGAATCAGTTGATCTGAAAAGTTCTCTACCTCACCTAAGTAGCTGTTATTTTACCTCTTCCTTCACAACCAGAAGATAAATCTTTCTGCTACTAGCATTAATTGTGGTTACTTAAAAGTATCACCTGTCTGGAACGGTACTTATAGCAAAAACAAACCACAACCCAATTCCAACAAGAAGTACATACCAACAAGAAGTACAAAAAAGACCCCCAAACACTAGCCACTGCCAGTTTTCTCAGGATCACATCCTGGCAGCTCTTCCTCTCTGATGACCAGCTAACAAACATTTAACTTGTTCCTCCTCCTGCACTCCATTTTATGTCTTGCCATTTCTGATTTTGTGTTAATAAGCTCATAAACATATATCCTCATTCCTAGTGACCTGATCTATTCCTAATTCTTAAATGCTTTCTTGTATCTGAAGTCTACAAAGAACGCATGGTTCAGCCAAGCTATTATTCTGTGCCACCTGTCCTTTCTTAATGATGAGGAAAACTTGCATTACTACCTGTAACACTGCTTATGCAAGATACTATCATCTATAGATGTACTATAGATGTACTCTTTTTCCCCTTTAAAATTTCCTTGCAAATTTTACTTAATAATTATCTAAGTTTATTAAAGTCTTCCTGCTATTATACATACAAGACAAAGAAAAGATAGTATCACTTTGGAAATATCTGGGGGAACCTGTCCCTGTTCCTTCATCCCCAGTAGGTGTTATAAATACAATGAAATTGAACAAACCCATGCTTTCTGCTCTCTGCACTTCTAACTACTTTCTAGTAAGTCATTACCTTCAAATTTTACCATTTTTGCAATGGCAAACACAGTTGCTCACAGCTAGCATGCGCAAACACAAAGCACAGAGAGGGAGAAAAACACAGCAGGAACAGTCTTGGATATGTAATAGCCTCTTTCCTATACAGACTTTGTTCTTATGACCAGATTACCTTCAGTTGACTGTGAAGATTCTTCTTTAAGTTTAGTTGCTCCCAAGCATGTCTGCAACGGCTCATAATTCTCAGAAGAAATTCTAATTACACTCGAAATGTTAACTCCAAGCTCAAACATCACAAGCAACAACTGAAGGTTGTGGAAATCCAAAATTATAAAGTAATGATGGGCACCATCTTCTGGTTCATCATCTATTCAAAATGCAATAAAACCAGATTAAAGACAAGGACATGGAATAGCTAAATAAATACTGGTTTTGCTTGACTATATAGGGATACTGAAAATTAAGGTCACAGAAGCAGCTCTTTTATAACCTCAGCAGGATAATTACATATAAGTTTCAAAATATCTGAAGCAGGCCTACAAGGATGCTGGAGAGGGGCCCTTCATCAAGGACTGCAGTGAAAGGATAAGGGGTCAGAACTACTGATCCCATGGACTGAATGAGTCCGTAATTTTATGCAAAATATAGAATCACAGAATGTTTTGGGTTGGAAAGGACCTTAAGATCATCCGGTTCCAACCCCTGACACGGGCAAGAACACCTCACACGAGACCATGTCACCCAAGGCTCTGTCCAACCCAGCTTTGAACACTGCCAGGGATGGGGCAACCACAGTTTCTCTGGGCAGCAGGTTTCAGTGTCTCACCACCCTCACAGTGAATAATTATTTTTTCCTGTATCTAATCTAAATCTCCCCTCTTGCAGCTTGAAGCCGTTCCCCTTTGTCCTATCACTGCATGCCCTTGTAAGAAGTCCCTCTCCATGTTTCTTGTAAGCCTCTGTTAGGCAGTGGAAGCTACTATAAGGTCTCCCTGGAGTCCTCTCTTCTCCAGAAGACTTAGACTATGCTGTCCAGAAGACTTAGATGATCAGGTGATGTAATTCATCTACCATGATTGTTTACCCTAAGACAAAAGAAACTGCCTACTGAAGCACCTGTATTTTTCCATCAACTATGGAACACATAACAGTTAGTGTAATTTTACATTCTATTTAGTATTAAGATTTTTTCTGAAGCCTACTATCACAAAACACTTTAAAGTCATTTAGCCAATCCTAAACTCACAGGACTCATTCACCCAAGGGACAAAAACAAGGGCAGAAAAAAAGGTAGCCTGGCACTGATATCTACCTGTGCTTAGATACAGAGTCAGAGCTGTGCAAATGCTGTTACTACCTGGAGCAGCAGGCTAGCAGCATGGTTGTCTCTCTCCTTGTAACATTAGGTAAACATAAAAGAATTTAGGATTTAGGAGGAAGACTGATGGAGGAAGCAGCCACCACAATCCGGTACTTACATTTCACAAAGCAAAAGCACAACCAGAAGAACATTGTATCACTGCTAGCACTGAAACTGAACTACATAGTTTCATGCTTTTTCCTTTGCTGTAACTGGGGCATCAACACAGGAATTACTGAGCATTAATGATTCCTAACAAAAAAGACAGCCAGCTGCATAGTCACTTCAAGATCCAAAAATTTCAATGCATACATGCCAAAGAGAAGACTGCCTACCATTAAACAGCTATAATTAGGATTATGCTAATAATGACAAATTGATGATAATCAGTCAGTTCTGATAATCAGTGACTAGTTTGCATTCAAATGATGAAAGACAGCAACACAAGTAAACTCAAGTTTACTCAAAATCAGAACTATTCCTTTCAGTAAGGTGATAATGTACTAGGGATGAATGATAAAGAGGCTGTTAACCATCAGAAACAGATACAGATTATCTCCAAATTCAAGACATGGTCAGATATGAGTAACATCTCAGACTACTCTCGAGTACAAATTGTGGCATTTCTCTCTTTTGGCTTTTTTTTTGCTTACTACAGTTATATTAAAACAACTATAAAGAGGCAAGGTTTAGATTGGATATTGGGAAAATCTTCACTGAAAGGGTTGTCAAGCATTGGAACAGCCTGCTCAGGGAACCGCTGGAGTCACCATCCCTGGAGGTATTTAAAAGACATGTAGATGTGGCACTTGGGGACATGGTTTAGTGGTGGACCTGGCAGTATTAGGTTTATGGTTAGACTCGATCTTAAAGTGCTTTTCCCGCCTAAATTATTCTATGATTCTCTAAAGTGCTGAAGAGTGCTTTAAGGATCATTCAAGGTTCTTCACATCTTCTGCTCACACTCTTGTGAAGTATGAAATATGCATGAAGATTTTTAAAGTACTACATTCTCAGTAGAAAAGTTTCATAGATCAGTATGTTCTTGACACTGAGAAATGGAGCTGGCACCACCCTGTCCCGAGATACAAATCAAAGCTTTACTGCGAGGTCCTTGAGAACATTAACTGTCATGTTCTCAAGAAAAGACAGAAAACCTTGACAGAGTTGTTTCACCACGCTTAATGTGCATTTAGAATAGCCTCCAGAAATTTTGGCAGTACTTGACTTAATTTTCTCTTGGTATGGGCATTGAAGTAGAATTGTGATGAATAAAGAAACAATTACCTCTCCATAAAACAATAGTTACGTTTTTCCTGTAGCCTAGATGAAGGATTTGAGGGATGCTGATCTTCTCAGGGCTACAGGTTCCTCCTCACTGCCTTCCTCAGCCCAACTAGAGGAAGTAGCAAGGTCAGGTTATCTTTTTCCTTGTGACGTAGTTCCTTACCGTCCTCAGACTGGAAATCAACCCACTGAGCATGTTTTTTGTATGAGTCAGAATCAATTTGTTTATCATTAAGTCCAACTGTGTGGATGCACAACAAATGTGATGAATTGTTCAGAATGGCTTTAGCTCAGTACAGTAGTGACTGTAAAATTATATACAGAAGTGACCAAGCACAAAATACCTCAACAGCTTCTCCTTTGAGGCAATCTGCAACTATTGCCATTTTGTAAATATCCTTGGGACTAGTGTGACAAATCCAAGTCATTGAAATCATAGTTTAACAGCAGTGCTAGCAGCTCATAATATAAAAATACTAAGCATACTAAACAAAGTATGCTTTTCATGGCTATTAGTTTTTGAAGGGAATTTGTATTTTCCTTACTTTGTCTTTTATTGACTGTGACTAGGAAGGCAGCAAAGCATGGGTATCTTATGCAGGTAGCTGATGTTTTCTGCCCATCCCTCAAGGCAGTAGGGAGTAAAATGCTAGAGCTAGTAAAATTGTTTCTACAGGGCTTAGTGGAAGCACATGAATACCTACACACAGGCACTCTCTACTGTACATTCTGTACCAATTTTAGTTAGATGACATGAGTTGCCTACGTCACTTCAGCTTGGATTTTTAAAGATGAAAAAATTAAAAACTATGCACAAAATAGCTACTGTTCTGTTCTTTTGTAGTTTTGTCAGCTTCACGAAGGTTCAGACTTGCTCTAAACACCTGGACTGATGCTCCTTAGATGCTTGAAGAGTGCCATTGATCTGGAATAAGATGCATGTGAAGGTCTGCTGCAAAAGGGAGGAAAAACTGCAGCAGTTCAACTGGGGAATAGCAGGTACACATAATGCATCCAAAAATCAGTAAGTGCTTCTTAAGAAAGAGAGATCCTGTTTATGTTGATGTAGCTCAAACATAACTCTGATCTAATAAGGAGAGCTATGCATATTCTCCAGTATTTTTTGTTCCAGTGAAATTTGTAACCATGGGTGCTATGTATCAAAAGATAAAAGATTTTCTTAGCGCTTGTTACCTCATTTCTGTAGTACCTCATTTCTGTACAGCTCATTTCTGGAGTAGATTTCTTAGGTCTGGGTTCTATTCACATGTTTTTACAGCAAATGAAATCATATTGTCCTTTGTATAGAACCTGGCTTCATCCCCAGACAATGGTATACGGCTCTGTTATACTTTATAATACAAGGAGAAAGCCACCTTTGGATACACAAACACATTCAGTGTGTATTCTGAAAGGTTTTCCGTAGCATTTGTTTAGCCACTTTCTTCTAGTCTTACACATGCTAAAATATTTTGATGTCAACATGCCACATATGCCTCATCTGTATTTTATTTCTTGGACTGCACAATCTATCCTAATGCTGAGCAGAACACAGTACCCTTTTCAAATGCAGTGGTAATGCTTTAATATTGCCAAATAAATCCCGACTTTTCAAGAAGCTAAAAAACAAAGTTAGAAGCTAGGTTGCAAGATTTCTAACAAGTTTATCAGGAGTATATCTGGTTTTTACATACCAATGTATTTGACTTCCTCTTCCACTTTCCCCCGTCGCTTCAATTCGGTTTTCTTTTTAACAGTGCCTGGTGCTTGAGGGCCTCCTTCTGTCTTTTTTCCTTTCTTTTCTTTCTCAGCTGCCTTGGCACTAGGGAGGCTCTCCCTCTTGCCAAGCCGTTTAGTTTTCTCTTTCCCTCCATCTTTTTCTTTTTGTTGTTCTTTTGCCTGACAAGATTAATAAATTCTCGTTGTAGCCTTCATGAAGAACAAAGGGCTGTAAAATTGTAGTACTTTAACTTTTTTATTTGAATACTTTGCCCTCTCAGCCACTATAATGTTGATGTAGTAAAGCTGTCTTGAGCACTCTGCTTTATCCTTCTCAAACACAGCATTGTTTATTATATTCTTACTAAATCATAGTGTTAAGTCTTGACATTAAAAAGGAACTGTGAGGTGTAGGTAGGCATTATACCTACAAAACTAATGAAACATTCTGGTAGAAAGATGAGTAAAGAGTTGAATAAAGAATCCCTGTGCTTTAGTTGCTGCCACTACAGCACTTGCATCAGCCAGAAACCTGCCCTGGACTGAAGGAAAATAAGACAAAACCTCAATTTCTGATAAGACTTCAGCCTCTCTGTTAACACTCTTGAGTATGGTGTAAAATGGTACCAGCACTGTTTTCCTTTGATCCAAATATCTGTCCACTATAAACTAGAACCAAGACTTTGTGCTCATTTCACACAGGATATTACTCAGCCATTCTCATTATTTTCAAACAAAACCACCTACATTAAGTTCTGCTCCGTAATTTAAGAGTAAAGAATGAAAAAAGGTCTTGTAAGTATCCCAAAGCCTCACTCTATAAATCCAGAAAGCTCAGAGCTAGTCTGAAATTCAAATAATCCAAAATATATTAAGGCAAAGGTGCTAGAAGAGCAGGAAAGCCTCCATCTTGTATCTACTCAGCAGCAGTACTACACACTAACTATGCAAGAATGACATTTAAGGATTGTAAAGCTAAATTAAATACAGTAAAATGATATTAAAGCACCATTACTATCCTGCTGGTGTCACTTTAAAGGCTATTAAAGGAGAAAAGCTCTCCATGCAAATGAGATAGGGCAGTTTACACAGTTGCTTTTCCTAGATCCCGCTGGAAAAGCAGACTTTCCAGCTGTAGAGCTTGTGTTTAGTTGGAATTCAAAACCGAAGCAGAAAATCTTTTCCTGCTTCTCCCTTCTTCATGCATTCCCTTTCTGTAAATTCAGAAATGCCTTCAACAGATTCTTAAAAAGAATTTGTGCTGTGAAATGGGGGACTTGAATGATTTCATTATTTTCTTTCAAGTTTATTCCACTTTGGACATTTCAAATCAAATATTTTGATACTGTTGCTTTGAGTTCTAGGCTGAGAAACACATCAAAACAAATGATACAGTCATCAGATTACTAAGTTCACAATCAGCTTTATCTATCGCATCGGCATTGTTTTATGTAAGTCAGTCTCAAATAACCAGAGACATTTCTGAACTTGGAAAGACTCCAACATAGAACACTAGTTGACCTTAATACCTTAGGAAGTAAAGATTTCTCCTTTCTAGGACTCTTTCCTTTCCACTCAATGTTGTATTTGTCTTTCCCTACAAGATGCAGCTTTTTGTGGAGTTCCTCATCTTCCATTAGCTTCACATTCTGTAATTTTGTTATTTTAAGATTCAGATTACAGAATCTTACCACCTGAACCTGTTCACTAACTCAGAAGCACTTCTCTTCTGCAGATTAATTTCAATGCATGCACCTGTCAATGCATCGCAAGCTTCTCCTAATGAAATGCAGACATTTCATAATAGCTTATTTTTGTTTATGCACTTGCTGGTTTACTTCTGCCAACTCATTCTATTAACTGGTGTCTATTCTAGAAAACAATAGACAGTTATGTTGGCTTTCTGGGAACTGATCTGCTAGCAAAATCCTGGTTTCAACCCCGAGTTGTTGGCAATGGAACTTGTACAAGTGAGTTGGAAAGGATTAAAAATTTTATGGCAGGCAATTTAGAGCAAGAATTCTAAATGAAAAGCCAGTTTCTGCCCATTCTGTGCTGCAAATAGCAGTACAAATAGCCATGAGCCCTTCCCATTCTTGACTCTTTGTCCTTCAGCTGCTGCTCTAGTCTTTGCTTGTCACGCTCTGATGTAGATATAAACCAGAGGTGACAACTTTGTCCAGATTGCTTGGCTACATCAGAAGAGAAACTGCAAGTTCCAGAAATTCTTCAACCTTCAATACCAACTATCATCAGATTCTCCAGGGAAATAGTATTATAGTTACAGGAGTAATCTTGCCAAATCAAAGCTAAAGGCTCCATCTTAATATTGAAGTGCCTAACCTTTAAACTTCAAATTTTTGTTTTGCAGTTTATTTCTTAGCCTTGACTGATATCTAAGAGAAAAACCACCTTTTCTCAATTCACTATAAAAAAATCTGCTCTATAGCTTCAGCTTCTCATTTCTCTTCAGATGGAAAACATTATTTTTTTTTTTTCTCAGATTCTTCATATGTTTCTGTGGCTTACCTTATCATTTGCTAATCTAATAATAATCTAGTAATTGGAGCTTTGGAGCAAGTCCAGAGGAGGCCACGATGATCAGAGGCTGGAGCACCTCATGTATGAGGACAGGCTGAGAAAGTTGGGGCTGCTCAGCCTGGAGAAGAGAAGGCTGCGTGGAGACCTCAGAGCAGCTTCCAGTATCTGAAGGATACTGGAGAAGTACTCTTAGTCAGGGACTGCAGTGATAGGACAAGGGGTGAAACTGAAACAGGAGAAGTTACACATAAGGAAGAAGTTCTTCCCTGTGAGGGTGGTGAGGTGCTGCCACAGGCTGCCCAGAGAAGTGGTAAATGCTCCATCCCTGGCAGTGCTCAAGGTCAGGTTGGACAGAGCCTTGGGTGACATAGTCTAGTGTGAAGCATTCTTGCCCATGGCAGGGGGTTGGAACTGGATGATCTTAAGGTCCTTTTGAACCCAGACCATTCTATGATTCTATGATTGACCTTACAATTTGCTAATCTATTTTGCAATAGAATACTGTGGGAACAGGACACAGGTTTATCACCTAGAATTTAATATTCTTGTCCTTGTGCACTATACTTTATCCATCGAGTACTCCCACAAGTAGAATTATTGTTAAAGAAACTTACAGACTTTTCAGCTACACAAAATCTATGAAACTGCTTTCTTCTTGCACCTTTTACATGCACAGACTGCTTACGCCTACATGTCAACTCATTTTACATTATAGTTTTTGCTCAATTAAGAGAGTAAAACTATTGCAGCAACTATATGACTTCCCAAGAACAGTCTTCAACTGCACGAATGTTTGCTGGAAAAGGACTATCTAGCAAAGACCAACTGTTCAGTAAGTTGTTGAAATGTACTACTGACAACTTCTTTTTGCTAAATTACAGATGTTAGAAAGCAGTTAGAAAAGTGATCTGTGATTCTGTGCAAACTTGGTGAAATTCCTCCTAGAAGAAATAAGCAATTTGACTGAGGCAATCTTGGAGCTAGCAGTGATGATCTCGGAGAATACATGGCAGCAAGTTTTGGGAACACTTGAAAATGTGCTACCCAGTTCTGAGAAGCAGACTTCAAGATACAAACTATTTGGAGAGAGTTCAGAGGAGTGGAACAAGCATAATCAAAAACTAGAAACCATGGCACATATTTGGGTTTGTTTAGTTAAATATGTAATAGATTTCTGGAGAATGGAGGGGAAGAACTGTTGTCCTTATACACAGCAAGAGACAAAGAGGTAACAGGTTTAAATTGGATACGGTTCATACGCTTAGAAACCTTTTCCAAATGGCTATGTTGCAGAAGTAGTCAAGCAGTAATACTGACTGCTGTAGAAAAGCTAAAGTACAGCAGTGGAAGGTTTTAAAAGAACCAGTTCAACAAACATCTGCCAGGATTAGTTCATGTAAATTTCATCCTGCCTTAGTGCAGAGGATGTAAAAGATAACTTCTTCACATTTCCTCCGGAGAGGTGATTCACGATAGTAACTTCTTCATAGCGCTGCTCTGCATCTGTCCTTGATACTTTTCCTACCTTTTCTTCAGAAGAGACATTCAGCTGAAGTAAGTTTTCAGCTTTATTTTCTACTGGGCCTAAGACTGTGCTAAGAAACTGCTTCTCCCTCCAGCACAAGGTTCTTGGAGTGTATTTTTTCTTTCTTTTCTTCTCCCCCCCCATCTCACCTGCATTTGAGGAATGGAGAGCTTCTTACCCGAAATCTAATTAACTTAAAAAAAAGATACATTTCTATTAACATCTTTCTTCAATTACAGATCTAGGAAGCTAGGCATGAGGAGAAAGTTGAATTTATGAACTAGACACTAGAATAGAGGTGCCTTCCTAAAGTTAATTAAGCATCTTCCCTAAGACATACTATAGTACCTTCTTTTCAGCTTCTCTTCTCTGAAGGTCCTTCTCTTTGAGACAAAGCAGTTGAAATTTCAACAGCTTTCCAGTTAGTGTTACTGGAATTTCTTCACCGTTATCCAGAAGGGCTTTGGCTACTTCTAACACCTGCAGGAAAACAAACAAACAGAATAACTATAACTCATTTTAATATTGCACTTGACACATATCTTGCATGCTGAAATGAGGAAATGCTCTCTCACATTGGTACAACGTATGGGTGAAAATGAGCACATGTTCAGAAAACCACTGTATCAGTAAGATGCCTGCCTATTTTTTGTTTCCTAAGACCTCAAATGAAGTTATATTTGCTACAATATGAGACAAAAATAAAACAGAGACAACTTCTACAATTTATGTAAAGGTCAACAGACACTTCTCACAGTAAAAATGTCATTTTTTTTCAGGCTTTAAACAAAGAAGCAACATCAAGCAACTATTTAATATAAAGTAATAAACTTAAAGACATTGAACAGATAGCAAATGAAGGGGAATCGTTTGGAGTGCTGTTTGCAAAGTAACCAGTGTCTGAGGCACTAGCTCTGAATGAAGGATAAAAACTTCTTGAAGGGAATTTGAGAGGGTCTGTCTTCATGAAAATATCCCCCCCTCCCTGTGTAATTCTGATTCTGCTGGTATGCAGCCTAATTGGGGTGAAATAAGGCTATTGAGTTTTCTTCGGGCGATGACAGCAGCAGGAACATACAGCTGCATTGTCCAGATGTGTGGCATTGACAGGCTGTTTTATGACTATGTTTTTTACAGCTTGTTTCCACTAAATTTCATACAACTCACTAACATCTGGGCTGTTTTCCTTGGAGCCTCATAACCACTTTATTTACTGTGAAAAAAATAAAATAACATAAAAATACCATAAAAAGTTGTTATATGTTTCTTTTCACTTGCGTTGTCTCCGTGATAAACTTCACCTATGTAGGAAGCGCTGTTGAGGAATAATACAACCATAATATTTTTCTACTTTTGTTTTTAAGCAACCATCAGCTTTATTTTATAACCATGGGCTAAATTAGGTGTTACTCAAATGTTCTGACATGTTTCTCTTTTCTCCCTCTTGGAGCAATTACAGTGGGCACATATGGTGTCAATTTTGCTTGCTAACATTCAGACAATGAAGGTGCACACTGCATCTCACTGAACTGTGTCTTGTCTAATGCAAACACCACCATTAGCTTTGAGCTTTCATAGCTTCTTGCTCAGCATAGAAATTCTCACTTCTCAAGTAAAACTTAGGTAAACAAATGCAGCCACTAAAAATGCTTCTTTGAATAAAACAAAGCCAAAATCCAGACTGTTACATGCCAAATTATTGTTTCATACAAATTAAAGCAAAATACAGAAATATCTTTAAATTCAGATTTTGCTGAAATCCCATAACAAGGACAGTAACAACCAAAACAAAACCTCCCAAAGCAATTATGCCACCCCTCCAACACCAAAAACCTGATGATCTCCTTAACATACACATAGAATCACAGAATAGTTAGGGTTGGACAGGACCTTAAGATCATCCAGTTCCAATCCCCTGCCATGGGCAAGGACACCTCACACTGACCACGTCACCCAAGACTCTGTCCAATCTGGCCTTGAATGCTACTAGGGATGGAGCATTTACCACTTCTCTGGACAACCTGTGCCAGTGTGTTACCACTCTCACAGTAAGGAACTTCTTCCCTATATCCAGCCTGATCTTCCTTATATCTAACCTGAAAATACATCATGGTTAAAATCAGCTCTGCTTTATATCTTTTGTATGCAGAGTAAGACTACTTACTGGCCACTATCTCTACAAGCCATCCATAGAAGGCTTCTGGAAAGATTCCCATTGACTTTGGAGTCATGGCAGAAAATCAAGGCCGTGTAACAAAGAAACTTAAAAACTCCCACAGACTGTGGGCACACTAGGAATTAATAGCTATTCCAAAAGCAAGTAGTCCCCCAAAGCTAGCTACGCAAATCTGTGCTCTGAAAGGAAGAGACTTTGGTAGAACTGACATAATGATTTCCTTTAGAGAAAAATACCAATCTCAAACAGGTATTTTTGCAGCAGTGGCGTTAACAGTCTATGGAAAGGGATGCTTCCCAATTGCCTAACCTAGATGAGTTGCACATTTCTTGAAAAACAATAGAGGGGAAACATGGATTCTGGAAGGATTCCTCAAAAGAGTATATATAGTAACCCTGCTTGATGGCAGTTGCTGATTTATTGTTTGTGGAAGAAGAATCGCTTCAACTCTTTTACAACCCATTCTTCCTGAGAAGTTCAAAGCATTTCACCAGTCAAAAGCAATGCATCATAACTATTCCTATTTTGTAGGTAGACAATGCAGAAATTAAAAGACAAGTCCAAGGTGTATAGTGAGCTGAACGACTCTGAGTGGGTTGGAAGGACAAATTTTCTTATGTGTGGCATTAGAGAAGTATAAACCAAACTATCTAACAGAAGTATGCTCCATGCCTGTGAAGAGAAGTCAGATAAGACAAAGACAACATGAACACGCTACATCTGGCAATACAGAGAAAGCAAATAGTTTGCATACGGCAATGTAAAATCTGCTTTATGCATAAGCAAATAAAAACCAAACCCTCATCACTGATAATTTAAAGTCAGAACATAGATCAATCCATGCATAGTAGATAAAAGAAACTAGATGTATCACACTTACGTATGTTTACTTCATCTGTGGTCCTGGGAGTTTTATTCAGACACCTGGCATAAACAGTTAAGAATCCACAGGGCCTCAAATTAAAGAAAGATAAAAGCTGAGACAAAGACTTGGTAGGAGAACAGAAGGAATTTTTTTGGGATACTATGAAGTGGATTCATTTCAGATTGGCTGTCCTTCATCCCTCCAGTGACGACCTTTTTCTTATGTGAGGAACCATGGAAACTTGGATGGACAAACTCAGTTAGGCAGGGCTCTTTTCCTTTAAAGGAAGAGGAAACTTAGCATTCCTCACACAGCAGGGGTCACATTTGTGAAGTGCAGAAAGGCTTCAGTGATGCAGTATTTGATCTCATATGGTGGCAGTATGAACCATGCAGAGATTTAGCCGCCTGGTGCAAAGGGCATGTATTTCAAGCTATTCAAACACTACATGAATGCTTGTAAGTGACACTACTGTTGGCAGATGGCAGCACCATTGAGACAGGAGATGGATTTAAAGTTAGGGAAACATTTAAAGCTAGCATCTTTATGGTATCTTTCTTTGAAATGCCTTCTTTTCAATATACAGAACCACTGTGGCAGCTAAATTATAATCAGAAAAGCTTTCAAAGTCATAAATTGCATTATCAACTTTATAGTTTTATCACTACCTGGAAGCAGTAGCATCACTTGCTATGTATGCATAGTGGTCAGCCCATTTCAGAGTGTAGCTTTCCTATATCCAGGGTGAACATTTTAAACCCCTGTGCTCCCTCTTGTTCTTGATACTGTAAGAAATCCAAGCCACCTCATATACCTCGGACTCACGTAACACTTTCTAAAAGAAATGTAATGGTTCCTAGAAGAGCTCCTCAGTAATTAAAATCCCTTAGTAGGTAACACAGTTCAAAGTCACTTTGAAGCAGGAGAGATCTCGGTCAAGAGACTATGTGGATTACACACACCAATCAAGTTCTTATTTACTGTTCAAATGTATTTTTCTGAGCACAAAAATAAAATATGTGTGTGTGGGAAGCAACCTGCATTTACTACAATATGCCATCAGTATCATGAAAACCTCACAGGCAGCTTTCAACACAGACTAGGGAACAAAAACTGCATGTGTCATACTGATACATTTCTTTTGTTCAAAGAAAACTTCTTTACACATGCTATTAAACAGTTCTGAATTGCTGTAGATTCATTGACTATAGCATGCTATGATCAATCATTTTGATCAATCATGGTATGGCCCAGCACAAGCAATCCAGGAGGTTTTTCGATTGTGTGGAAGATAATTTCCTTCTGCAAGTAATAGAGGAGCCGACAGGAGAGGTGCCGTGCTTGACCTCGTGCTCACCAACAGGGAAGGGCTTGTTGGAAATGTAACGCTCCAGGGCAGCCTTGGATGCAGCAATCACGAGATGGTCGAATTTGAGATCCTCAGGAAAGTGAGAAGAGCATGCAGCAAGCTCACTGCCCTGGACTTCAAAAGAGCAGACTTTGGCCTCTTCAGGAACCTGCTTAGTAAGGTTCCATGGGATATAGCCCTAGAGGGCAGGGGGGCCTAAGATTGTTGATTGATATTCAAGGATCACCTGCTACAAGCTCAGGAGTGTTGCATCCCAGCTAGAAGGAAGTGCAGCAGGAGGGCCAGGAAACCTCCTTGGATGGATAAGGAGCTGCTGAGGAAAATTCAAATGAAAAAGAGGTTTATAAAAGGTGGAAGCAAGGGCAGGCAGCCTGGGAAGAGTACAGGGATGTTGTCTGGGAAGCTAGGGACCAGGTTAGGAAAGCTAAGGCCCAGTTAGAATTAAACTTGGGTAGGGATGTTAAGGATAACAGGAAAGGATTCTACAGGTACGTAGCAAATGAAAAACAGACTAGAAACAACACAGGCTCCCTCTGGAAGCTCTCGGGAGAACTAGCTACACAGGATTTGGAGAAGGCTGAGGTTCTGAATGACTTCTTTGCCTTGGTCTTCACTGGCAAAGGTTCTGACTGCACCACCCACGTCTTGGAAGGTAGATGCAGGGACTGTGATAATGAAGACCTCGGGCCCGCTGTAGGAGAGGATCTGGTTCGAGACCATCTTAAAAACCTGAACATGCACAAGTCCATGGGACCTGATGAAATCCATCCACGGGTCCTGAAGGAGCTGGCAAATGAAGTTGTTAAGCCACTGGCCATCATACTGGAAAAATCCTGGCAGTCAGGTGAAGTTCCCGACGACTGGAAAAAGGGAAATATAACCCCCATTTTCAAGAAGGAGAAAACGGATGCCCCGGGGAATTACAGACCAATCAGTCTCACCTCTGTGCCTGGCAAAATCTTGGAGGAGATTCTCCTGGAAGGCATGCTAAGGCACATGAAAAACAACAAGGATGCTTGGTGACAGCCAGCATGGCTTCACCAAGGGGTAGTCCTGCCTGACCGATTTGA